ACTCAACAAGCATTCTTTTCGCTCGTGACGTAGATTAATTGATAAGAGGACATATTTCAATTTCACAAGTGCAAAATATTAACTTAAAATAGTTGAATTCAAAAAAGAAAAAAATAATAATTTGAGAAAATACTAATACATGTTGCCTATTAGGGATTAAAAGAATCAATGTGATGTTTGAATAACTTATTTATATACGGTTCAGCTGGAGTAATATTTAACAGAAAAAAATATGTATATAATGTGAAATGGATACCGTGTAAATAGGAACAAATGAATGACAAGTGTGACATAAGCTATCTAAAATTGCTCTTATCATTTTTTAAAATGAACCTGTCAATCATGAGTTTACTTTGGCGTCAATCAGATCTCGTTCATTGAATACTTTCAGAGACATCGCAAAAATGGATCGAATGCCATCAAAAGCTGTCTGAGCTCACCGAACAGCGACGAAGACGTGAGTCGCAATTTGAGAGTCGCGCTAGGCTTAGGCTGTAATTATTTACATCGAAGCTCTCGTGTGTCTGATTAGTAACGTGTGGAGAATTCGTGCTGATATCCATTTCAGCCGTCATCGCTTATTTATCACAGTATTCATCACATTATTTTTCTAAGCAGGCATTCTACTGCAGGCCGAGCAGAAAAAATACACATTTATTTTTGTTTTTCGCTTAGTCTGATATTGCCTGTTGTTGCTAAATCAAGCTTGCCTATGAATATTTCCGGTGTTCAGCTCGACTACGATAGGTTGTGCTGTCTCTTATTTTGCTAAAACGTATTCGTTTATGTTTTTCCCTGTCCGTTTTACCAAATAAGGTTATTTTTGATTCGAGCGTGAGACTGGAAGTGCGTGGGAGTGCAATGAACAAATTGGAGTAGTGAAGAGACTTGAAATTTGCGAACAAAATTAAAAGTGCAATAATTTTTACACATGAATGGAGCTCAGATTCTGATTAGAAAAAGGGCACAATTCGAGTAATGAGCTGGGACAACGAAATATATATATATATATATATATATATATATATATATATATATATATATATATATATATATATATATATATATATATATATATTCTCAGATTTCTTAAAACCTTTTTTTGCGATTTAATATTTTCATATTCTTTTCTAACTCGTTCTCTCATTCGAATTTGTTCATTAAACCCAGTAGCATAGTTAAAATTCGCATAGACGACTAATAAAAATCGCTGAACAGCAGCATACTTTAACATCATTCCTTCGTCTTTTTTTCTCCTCGAAAGTCGCAACAACAAATTCGGGGCAACAAAACACCGAAAAAAGTAGTTCACGGTGGCTTGGGGTCGACGGACGCATAAGTGCTGCACCTCGACTAACTATGCGTTCGCTTCGCATACTTTCATAGTGTTCGGCTATGTCTCGGTGTATGGTGCGCGAGCGTTCTCCAAGGCCATACTCCTTATACCGATTTTGAGGTGTAGGAACTTCAGTTTTCTGCCCCCCCCCCCCGAAAAAAATTGTGTTCCTGCTACTTTCTTATTTACCGCATAATTTTGCTTTGCTTTTGCCAACCAGCTCTAACTATTCAGCAAATGGTCACGGATCGGACCCCCGTCTCAGCATTAAACACCTTCATGTCGTTCGACAAGATGCTTGCAAAAATTTGGGTAAGGCTTTATATTTGCATGGCACGTTACCGTATCGTTAAATTTGTGTTTGTGTGTATACTTAAATGTCCAATCTTTTCAACTAGCACTCATGAGAAAAAAAACGATGGGGTTATGATGATAAGATGGTTTTTAAATTATATGCATGATCATTACTACAAGAGGTTTAGTATGCGTTGTTCATCGATAAAAGCCCGCATATGGGAACAGTTCGGTTCGACCTACATATAGGTTATTCTAAGTGGCGCGCAAGGCCTCGTCGTCTCGATTTTTTGCAAGTTCTTTCGGCGATACAGTACCGTGTTGGGAGGGGGGGGGATAAATGTTGCGATCGACCTTGTTTTTGCTGCGTAGAGTTTTCTTCGAGACACCGGCGCCTTCTCGGACGCCTTGTCCGTGACATGAACCGAAGATGTGAATCTTCGTTTGCAGTGACAGTAAGGCGAAGCAATAAATTTAGTAATAATAATAACAAAAAGAAAAATGAAATGACGAAAAAACATATTGGGACAAATAAAAAAAAGAAAAAGAAAACACCGCCGCTGAGCTAAAAACGAATCAGATCGGGAATCAATACACTCCCCCGCAGAGCACAACGTTCCTTCATATGCTTTTTTGCGGTGTTCGACAGCTTTACATCGGGAATCGCAACATTTTTTATTATGAAACTCGGCAGACATTCTCGTTTTGCTCTTCGTTCTTTTTTTGCTCCACGGAAATCGACACAATTTTTCGTTTCTATCAAATATTTTATCAGAAATTATAATTATGGAGTGCGGTTTTCAATATATCAGAAAATTTACCTGAATCTAACCAATCAGCAATGTATTCATGAAATTAGTTTTTCATGAACAATGTTCCCCCTAGGGATATATTTTGCCAAATACATCTACGAATATAATGAAAAGTACTCGATTCGTAACTAACGAACAAATTATATTCTTGTTATTCAACTCCTCGGTGGTTGCAATTTTTCTAATTAGTTTATCGCATAATTGTTATTATTTTAGTAGTAGCTATGATTAAATATTCTCACAATTTTTCAGAATACTATTTAGATTATTTTCTAAACTGGATGCGCATTACATTTAATTGTTTTGAACATATTAATATTAGAGCCCATCCCTAAGAGAATCAGTGAAAAACCTCAATGCTTTACATTTTTTTTCTTTCTAATTCTCGAAGAGTATTTGTCAATCAATTTTCATTACCAGACAATTCGATTGGTATGAACATACCAACTGAATTGGCTGCAATTGATATAGTTAATTGTATTGCACTCGGCAGTGTTCTGTTGCCTTCAAAAAGTGGTGAAAGGCAAAATGATTTTCTAGAGTTCTGGCCATTGAATCAATGACAAATCGTTCGATGAAGAGAGTTTAGACATGCGATTTTATACGTTGCATCGTTAAACGGTTTTTTTTCCTCTTTTATCTTTTGAGATGTCACAATCTACTAAACGACTTAACGCGATGAATCGAGTTTGAAAAGGAAGAGACAATCGACCCAATAACGGAGATGTTCATAGAAACCGTTATTGAATTTTTTAATTGTCTTAGCTATGATTTCAAAAATTTTGATTTGACTTAATTATGGTTTTAGTTGCAACTATGAATTTTTCATCTAAAGATTGTGCACAAAAACTGCAGTGCCCCAATTGTGTCAAAATTGCATAGAAAAAACTGTAGACAGTACAACAACACCGTGAAAATGGTTTTTCACAATTTCCGATGAAAAAGTTAAACGGTTTTACACTATTGGGAAGCATAACTCATTAGATGAAAAATAATTTAATGTATAACTGTGAGCCAATGTTTAAAATATTCTAGATGAGAGACGATAAACACTTCCCTAGTAAATGAAAAACGAGCATAATAAAAAATATAGCTTTAGTTAGCTAATGCGTCATGACATTGGCAGTCATTATTGTAAACCATACCTTATAGTATCGTTAACTATATAAGATGAAACAATCAAGTTCCGATTATCAATTCAAGGTCGATTCGGTTAGACCGATTAACTTTTGAAGGCCTTTCGAAAATGTGAACGATAGTATCTACTATGATCATCCTATTGGAAGAAAACTTATATTAAGTAAATTTTAAAATTCAATTTTTTAGACATAATTATTTTTCGAATACCTTGCAACACCACAATAGTAGATCAAAATTCTAATTTTCGATATAAGGATATTATAAGAATCACTCATCTAGTGAAAATTTCAAATATAGTAACAACAAGTTAATAGAAAAATTACATATTTCTGCATATAAATTCAAATTATCCACTTTGTTTACATACTTGTATAGTTACATGAGACGGTAAAAGCGCTCGCTTTACGTTAAAGTTTTGCTGATATGGCAGTTTTACGATTTTCGATGAACACCGATAACAATTTGATTATGTTGAAACTCTCTTGATGCTTCTTCGTTTTTTGTGAGAGCTAACTACAGACACATCATGCACAATGTGTCTAGAGCGGAAAAAAGATTCGTACCAATTTTTGATTCCAATTAGTTTATATGAACTTACCGAAAGTTACATTTTTTTTTCATTGAAGCTCGACCAATTAATTTTTATAATAAACAAGTCGTTATCGGGAATAAATCAATCAAAAATTTTGAATTATTTCTAAAGACTTTATCTTTCTGAAAACGATAGAATCACTGATCAATGATTTTCGATAGAAATATTGGAAAACCAAATATGTCCTAAGATTGACGTTTTTTTTTCTATTTCTTTCATTTCATTGGAAGAACTGATAATAAGGCATTTGGCTAGACTAGACGTATCGTTTACAACATTTTATTAATATAATATTCGTATTACCATTATTGGCAAAAGTTATTTCCGCTCGTTCGCGACTTCAAAAAAAACTGCTAGACAAAAAGGTTGAGGATACTGTAGGAAAATGGAAACTTAATTTCTGCCAATAAATTTTTTCGTCATCATCATTCTCGAATGGGCGGAGATGAACAGAAATTGCTGTTTGATATAGTTAGATGTTGCGTTCATTCGCAACATATTAGTGGCTGACTGTCACAACATTCCTTTTTGTCGGTTCTGTCGATATCAAACGACAATCATTTCTGTAACCGTTTTGCCGCTCATATTTTCAAATCAAAATTGAAACCTTTTGTATTCAATTTTCAAATCAAAATACTGTAACTCTATTTCGATTTCTGGGCGAGTTTCACGCTTCAAAAAGTTTATTTTTTTCGATTTTTCAATATCAAATTTTCCACCTCTTCGATTTTCGTGTCACTTCTCCGCGCTGCTCGCTCATTCATTCATTCAATATCAATTCAATTCAGACGACGTCTGATATCGTAGACACTCTTATTCCTTCGAAATGAGCTCGACATTCTTCAGTCGTGTGGCTGACGACGAAATCGGTCAAATATTCTCGGATTACGAGAACGATTTCAATCATTTGGATGATATTTTCCGCGTTGAAGACAATCCGGATGATATGCGGCTTGGACTCGAGCCGTTGCATACGCCGGGTCCAGCCGATTTCGATCGCCAGTCGACATCGTCGATTCAAAACTTTACCGCAAATTTGACTCTCGATTCCGACACGGACTACCAAAGAAGAAGTGCGGAATGTGCCATGTGGTACAGCTCCTCGGAAGACGACTACATGTACGATGCGTTCGGCGATTTTATGCAATACACAAATGAATACGTACCGCCATATATGGTAAGTCGTAAGAAGTCAAAAATCATGCCTTGCTTTTTATTTTTCTTGCACTTTCACTTAAATCAAAAAAAAAAGAAAGAAAACCGATCATATTTATCACTAGCAAGAATCATAGCGTCGGTTCACTTTCAACTCTGAATCCAGACGGTTTTTTGCATTCTTTGTCTACCGATATAATTAATTGAAGACGGCGCCGTCATCATTTTAACACAAGAGATGCGCCCGACAGAAAAAAACCGTCTGAATATTAAAACGCCCCAAAAAGGGATACAAATCCCCTTTCGATGATACTATTCGCCAATTATGCACTACTCGTATGAAAATTGCTATTTTGATTCGGAAGAATATCCATATGAAGTGAGTTGTTATATTCACATGTAAATATTTGAGGAATATTTTTTTCAAAAAAAAAAGTTAAGTACAAATAAGCAACAATATTGTTGTTTTTTGGCTTTGTGTGCTCTTTGGAACAAAAAATGTTTGAAGGTAAATATTGGCGACGCGGCGGTGTTTTTTATTTGATTTCAGTCAAATTTTTAAGTAGTATTAATTGGTCTCCTCATTTTCAATTTTCAAACAAAAATCAAGAATTATTCAAAGGGTATATCTTTCTCATTATCTTGCAGCTCGAAAAATTTAATTTCCTATTTAGTTGAACAATGATGCAAAAACGTTTATGTTATTATTTCCCAAGACTGTATAAAATTAATGCTGTTTACAATGAATATCCAAATTTAGATATTAATTAAACTAATCGAAATTATAACTTATTGTCCTTTTGATTCAACTTAAAATATAAAGATTCAAATTGCTTTCGTAATCATTTCTGTGTTACTCGTTTCTCAATAGTTTTCAATTACGTTATCCAATAAGGTAAAGAAGATAAATTGCGATATCGCAGTTGGCTTTCCGGTGAATGACCTTCAAATTGTTTGTGACCTAATGGACGCGGCCGTCTGCAAAGTTCGTGGAAACAAATAAAACTAGTCCACAATTGCTCAATAAATCGCAATATTTTATAATTAATTGCAATTTAAGTGAGAAGTCAGAGTAATTCGACTCACGTTGTGTTTGAGCCATACGCAATTAATAGTTGGCCTCATTGTTAGTTATCGTTACTCTTTGACCTTTTCAATCGACAATCGAAAGAAATTGCAACACCGATTTTGCGAAATCAACTAGTCCATTTGATAAATTGATATCAAATGGACTAGTTGTTTGGGAACAAATCTGGGAATACTGATTAATATGATGATTTCAATTACTATTCGATCTAAGGAGGGGTGAGGGGGGGGTCTTATCAAAATTAAAGAAAAAAGTGATCTTAGCTAAATTTAAGAATCTCGAATATGCAGAAGAAAATATTATTTACATTTTTTCAAGTTAAAAGGAAAAAGCACTTTGAAGTAATCAATTTAAAGTGCATATAGGAAAAGTTAGCAATTCCCACATAATATATTGTTAGTGTTCCGCCTGTCAGTTCTCGAAAATAATATGAATTATACTATTATTCAGTTAGCTACAATTATACACATCTTTGCTCGTCTTTCCTCAATAACAAATTTAATTTTTCACTAAATAAGGATTGTTTTCTTTCACACTTTCCAATCAACTATATACTCTTTGAGTAGGGTTGTCCGCCAAAAAAAATACTTCCCCTCTAGTTCCCCTATGTCTTGTTTATGCATAATTTCGGTATAGTCGCAAAAAATAGCAAGAAAACGAATAAATAACACGTGGCGTTTGCGCATGAACGGCAAAAACATGTATAACACTAAGAGACGCGAATGGGTCAACATTTGGCGGCTGAAATTCGATAGGGACCAAAAATTACTAAATATAGAGATCGTCTCATTCAGGTTGATTGTGAAATTACGAGTATGTGTATGTGTATTCTGTGCGTCAATGTGTACGTTACCAGGCATGTAGTAAGGGCCTGTGGGGGGGGGGGGTAGTCCCCACCGATCCACGAGTGTTCTCCGCAATCTGCATGCTCTCTGCGACTGTTTTTGTCGTGTGCACTGGAAGGCCCCCCCCCTCCCTCGCCACCACACGGGTTGTTGATGTTTTTTGCCTGTGGCAATAGCCCCGCCACCCTCATGGCAGACAACCGGCCACGCCTCTGAAGCGTTCAGCTCATGAAAAAAAATTGCTATTGTATTTTAATTTTTCGTTGTAGTCCTCAAATTCAACATTGCCATGGAGAAATTTAGTTTTCACTTCGTACCATCTCGAGACATCCGAATTTTTTCATTTCTCGGTTCTTCAATTTTCGGATTATTTCCCATCCCCCCTCACTCTCTTGCGATCGTTGTTGTTATTCCGCGGCAATAAATCTAGTGATAATGCCAATTTAGAGCTTCTATTGAGGGGCTGACGAGAATAGTTGTTTACCCACCTGATGTATCATGTATACGGTATTCCGAGAGAAAGGGAACCTCGTTTTTGGTGGATGTAGGCCGCCAAAAATTGAGAACAAACTTGAATTTGAAATTTTTTTTCGCAGCGCAATCAAACTTTGATTGTTGTTTGATTGCGCGTATGTGTTCATCTGAAAATTTCCTGTTTTTTTTTCAACCTACGCACAATGTTTACGCATTTGAAATTGGACGTTTATTAATTCACATAGGGTGAAAACAAGTTAAATCGATTTTTGGTATTCTGAAAGTCTATAAATTCAAACATTGGCAAAATATCGAATTATATAAGGTCAAGGAAGAGCAGTTTTAGGTTTACAATGGGTTCAAAGAGCTATTTTCGCTAGAATAGTTTTGAGCTTTTCCTCAATATTGGTCATAACCTTCACGAATTTTTTCAGACTTCGAAGCCAGTTTTTTGCTGAGGTTTTTATCGTTAAGCATCCATCCGATTCCATTTCCACTCCCGCTGCATTTTGTTCTTGACGTTCTTTGAGCACCTACAGTAGTACATTAACAGGTCGCTTGTTTACCATTGTCCGCTTGGCATTAGCAGCAGCGGCACGCCTGTCTAGTTCTCCTTTCGATCCCCATCTTGTCGTCGCAAAAATATTGCCCTTAAAGTGCATGAAGTTTTTTTTCGACTGACAGACTGAAACCAAATACACTATCGGAAGTGTTGCTAGATTAGAAAAAAAAAAGAACTAGTTTTATTCGCAGTTCGCAAGGATTGTTGCAATGGACGATGATTGATTCCTTAGCTGGAATAAGGGCAAAAATTCCATAGTGCAATCTAACTAAAAAGTTGTAAGATCGTAAACAAAATTTTGAAATTTGTAATTTCAAAAAATTCCGTTGTTTCCAGTTTTGGAATAGCTATACTGTACTTTCTAATGTGGAGGACCGTAGAGAAAATAAAAATTGTTATTAATAACATAAAGTTCTGATAGAAAGGCAAAAAGATTTTTGATAAGAGGTCCAAAGACTAGATGAGAGGGACAATTTCGAGAATTGAGAAGAGAGAAGCTGATGAATGTTTTGAATAGTTTCTCGAATAAACAGGGGAGAGACATTTTCAGATATTTTAGTAAGAGACTATTCTATTTATGTTTGCCCATATATTTTTGCAAGCTATTCTGATGTTCAAAATTTGCACGAATCAACTGAAGAAATTGTTTTTTCGGTGGACGCGCGATGCACTTTGGTGTGTTTTCGACTAAAAGTGCAATCTTAAAATTGTGTTCTATTAAAAGCTCAGTATTCGGCTTACAGAAATCACAATATGAATTTAGTCCGATTGTTAGCATTTTTGAGCTCAACGTTTTTCTATGATATAAGCGTTTTCAACAAAAAACCAGTCGTCCACTAATTTCACCTCATGGCTCGTTTTAAAAAATTTATTTTACCGTATACCACGTGTTTTTGCTCTCTTCTAAAGTTAGACACATTGAGTATTGAGAGTCGTCAGCCATGAGGCAATATACATGCATTGAGGCGAAGTACGAGACGCAAAAATAGGCGGGATCGCATCAGCTGAGAGCCAGCCAATGGCAAGAAAAAATGGGCGGGCGCCTATACAACACATACACACACACAGAAGACTAACGCACAATAAAAAACAATAAAGTGAAAAAAAATAGTGAACAAGAGAGAATAGAGGGCATGTCTCCCCTAGGCCCCATTGACAGAGTTAGGAAGTGAGGGGTGGCCACCCCTGAAAAACAACCATGAACACAGATACGTAGTACTAAATAAATGGAACACACGGGGTGCGAAGAAATTGATCGAAAAAATATTTCAATCCCGTCGTGTTTCCAGCCATTTTCAGCGTTTCATTCTCATTTGTTATTAACGGCATTTCTAAAGTCTTTAGTGCATTTATCGTCAACACATTGCCATCATTCATTTCGGTGCCGAATTAGCTAGTTGTTGTTTTTGTTGGTTGCTGGTCTGGCTGGTTGGAAAAAAAGCGAAGCGAAAAAAAAATTTCCCCTTCTTCATTTTCCCTTTTTTTGCTTGTTTTTCAGCAGTGCCACTATCCAGTAGCACCCACGGTGCTCGACAAAAACATCTTCTTTCGAGCCCCGCGTCCCCCCCCCTCCAGCTCGTCGGATTTCTAGACATCTCTGACGTCTTTCAGCCTTCCGCGTCCTCTTTTTCAATTTTTTTGTTATTGTTGTTGTTGTTTGAGTTTTTTCATCGGTAGGTCTTTTTTTTCCTAAGCTCGCTTGGTTGTCGACTATTCGTTTATAACATGGGTGGTAGTGTGCTCATAGGCGAAAACAGATTAAAGGCGTATTAATACTGATATCAGATTTGACGTTCATTTTAGTCTTCGTAAGTTTCTCAAATATGAATATGTTTTTTACCGGCATGATACGGTATCCTCTTTTCAATAATACGATTTCGCAACAAATACCCCACCGCTTTAGATGCCTACAGTAATCGGGAACTCGAAAGCACTCGATTTTCACTTGATTTTTTTCTTCGACACATTCAGTAACATTTCACAATAATATTCATTCTATGATTAAAGATCATTACTATAGATAGACTGAACATTGAGGCGTCAATTTCAATAGCTTATTCGTTACCGTACCCCTCTGAAACAAGATGACGCCATTATAGAGTATTACTGTAGTCCAGCTGCTCTCGTTTTATTTATACTAGTCTCAAAAATCACATGACATTCTTGAGATGACGAAAATATTCAGTAGAAAGAAAGTAAAATAAGGAAACAACAAATTTAAGTTGAGATGGTTTTATATCGTTGCTTGTTTGCTCATGGCCACAGCATTGCCTCGGCGTGGAGGCGCGAGGCGTTCCAAGAACCGAAAGAGCTGAAAATATGCTGAAATTGGGCCAGCTTATTTGTGGTGCCCGAGCGCGCGCTCGCGCGCAGCATTCACATCAAAACAAAAGTTGTTTTGAACGAACGCCTCGCCGAGCCCGAACCTTTGCATCCGGAGCACAACAACGACGACAACGACGACGACGACGACAACAACAGCATTTGAGGACGTTCCCATATTTTCTAGTTTTGTTCGCGTTTTTTTTTCCTCAAGAGCACCATCTAAATAGTTCAACTAGTCAAATATAGCTTCATCCTTCTTGCTCAGCTCTTTTCGATAATTCTTCTTCGACTCTGTATATTAATTCAATACTTACAGGTTCTCGCCTCTTACCAATGTGCTGATTCATAAAGAAACCGTGAACGTGATTGCTTATGACTTTTTTGTAAACAAACTCATCCCATAACGCCATCAAACTGTTGTGAATACTCAAAACGCGCTTTTTCCCCCCAATCATCTCGAAACGAATATCTACCTCAAATCTGCGAAACTTCACTTTGTACAAACCGCTCTCTTTATATTCACTATTCACCCGCTGAAAATAATAAGAAGGAACACAAAATTAAAATGGCCGACAATATATTGTCGTCGCAAAACTATATCAATTGGACGATGCTCAACAAATTTTATGGAAAGGTGAGAATGGTATCAAGAACGCATCGACATCAGACTACAAGTTGCAATCAAACTCCGGAAATTTTTTTTTGTGTATTTCACACCCCGCTCTTTTTTTTCTCGTTCTTGATACGAAATAGAAGGTGGAAACTGGAGTATGTGGTTGAGTGTGGGTGCGTGTTTGTGTGTCTGTCTGATATTCGAGAGGCGGGGCACGAAAAAATAAAAATGAAGTTGGGAACACGAAGGAATAGTTGCCGAAACATTCATTCTATTCACACAGTACAATATAATTGCTTCTGTATGCCAGAGTTAATTCACACGTTACTTCAACTACACTATGAGCAGTTCTTGGTCGCCCAATTTGATGATCCAGACTACTTGAGGGTGTTTCTAAGTGTTAGTGGTTGAGAAAATAATATCTATAATTTTGTAACATTGCTTAACTATTTCGTTTTTAGCCTCAGATGAGCACTCCCGATGATCCGGTGATCCATAGTCCACCACCAATCGGCTCCGCTGGTTTGAATGGTTTGTAACAATCTACAAAAAATATACAGTTATTCCCTTAATCTTAGGATATCCAGCCGGGATCAAAATGGAGGAGCCGACATCTGGCTCGTGCACTTCGCCAGAAGACGCTAATATGGATCCGTCGTCTGAGGAGAGCCGGCGACGACAAAAGACGTGTAGGGTATGCGGCGATCACGCGACGGGTTACAATTTCAACGTGATCACTTGTGAGTCGTGCAAGGCTTTCTTTCGCAGAAATGCGCTTCGCCCAAAGGTTTACTAGCCACGCGCGATTCATTCGATGTGCATGCACAATATTTCAGGAGTTCAAATGCCCGTACTCTGAGGATTGCGAGATCAATCCAATTAGTCGCCGATTCTGCCAAAAGTGCCGATTGAGAAAGTGCTTCACTGTTGGGATGAAGAAGGAATGGATTTTAAATGAGGAGCAACTCCGCCGGCGGAAAAACTCCAGACTTAATAACCAGTCAAACTCGAAACGAGTTCAGCATCATCAATCCCAGCACCCACCCGCACAGCAGAATCATCCATCGGTAGCTGTCTACGTAAGAATTACTGTCGAATAGTTGTAGTGCATGGGAAACAATTGCAGCAGCAACAACAGCACCAGCAGCAGCAACAGCAACAACAGCAGGCTCAGCGGCCATTGTCTATTAACCCTTTAGAGAACCAAATGCTTCATCATATTCAAAATCGGCAAAACGTTATGCCACAGTTGATGAGTCCGCCTGGACCTCCACAACCATATTCATTAACCTCGCCAGTTGGCTCAACGTCATCTGAATCACCGCCTTCAAGAAATCTTACAATGATGTACGTCGATCGAAGTCCGGAAGGGGTATGTGCTATTACTTTTATTGATATTTCGAAAACTCGGTTATCATCAGAACCAGTTCAATTACTTCTACAAAAAAATTTTGATTGCAATTTTTACTGTAATGTTGTTTCATTATTTCATTTCCACGCACCTTTCATATTTCTCGCACAAATTGGTATTAGTCTTCTGATTGCAACGTTTTTTTTCAATTTATATACAAATTCGATTACAACATAAACAAGAAGTTGGAAATTATAGTATGATCCGAACATGATGTCACATCGTGTGCAAGCGCCGATCATGCAGACACCGGAGGTGAAGTTTGATGCTGACGGGAAGGTATGATTATTCATATCTACACTGTTATTTTCTATACATTCTCACTCTCTTTTCGCGTTCGAAACACGAGACTTCTATCGATATTGTTGAATGCTTAAATTTCCAATTGAATTGTTTTTCTCCAACATCATTTCAAAATAAAGTTGAAATGCCTTTCATTATAGGTCGTTCTGAGCGCTGAAGAGTACAAGCAGCTACTTGCTAAGATCCCTCCAGGCGCAATAAATAGTGGAGACGATGAGCCGCATACAAAACGGTATGCAATGCTGGAATTGCAGAATATGATTTACCAATTTAGCACCGCTTATGCTCAACAACTTCCACCCTCAAATCAGCATACTCCTCCATATAGTGCTCCAATGAGTGACATGACACTGTCCCGAAACAATTCCACATCATCGGGTATCATGACCTAGAAAAATTCATTTGAGACAAAACCATCAATCCTTTGCAGGATCAGATAATTTGTATCACGGCACCAACGGCAACCAGACCTACTTCGATCTTGCTTCTTTTGGAATGGGCATGGCGACCGCCACTGGAGACGGAGACGCCGCTGAAGAGATGTATCGCCAAATGAATCGCTTCTGCGATAACATCATCCAATCGGCGCTCGAAAGCCCAGAGAATGTCGCTCCAACTATTGACCATCATCAACCAATGACCCCTTTACCAAAAAGCGACGTTCTCTCGGCCAACGAACTCAAAGTGCTCGACACTGTTCGCGAGGCGTTTGGTGGAATGGATGAGCAAATGGAGGAGGGACGTCAGCTCGCTTCGTTCTTGCGAAAAGAGAAGACTCCAGCCGACATTATGAACATCATGGATGTCACCATGCGCCGTTTCGTTAAGGTTGCCAAGTGCATCCAGACTTTCCGCGACATCTCACAGGAGGGAAAGTTCTCCCTTCTCAAGGGTGGAATGATTGAGATGCTCACTATTCGCGGAGTCTGCCGCTATGATGCCGCCACCAACTCATTCAAGACCCCAACAATCAAAGGAGTTGATGTCTCGGTATGTTACTTTAAAATATTTTGTTTTTGTAAATATAACAGCTGCAGATCAATGTTGATGAGATGTTTGCCAAACTTAACGCCAACGCCCAGGCTCAGAAGCAGAAATGTTTGGAGTAAGAATTCCTATTTCGAAAATGACCAGCTAACAAAACAAAACTCTGTTTTCAGGTTCTTCCGCTTTTTCGACGAGGAGATTAAGAAGAATGATCTTGCGGTAAATCTTGTGATGCTCATTGTCCTCTTTTCGATTCGTCACGACCCACCAATGAGTGAACGCGATGTGACGTTGATTTCAAACGAGCGTCAGAAGTACATGTCGCTTCTCGGCCGCTATTTGGAATCGCTGTATGGCAATGGAGCCAAGAGAATCTTCGATCGTGTCCCACGTGCTCTTGCGATGCTTAACGTAAATTTTGGAAAGGAATTTAAAAATTAAAAATTGACAACTTTTGAAGGACATTGCTAGAAACGCTGGAATGCTCTTCATGGGAACCGTCCGCAACGGAGAGGCTGAGGAGCTACCAAAGGAGTTCTTCCGCATCGAATAAGCGTGCTCGATCAACTTTGCCTACGTGTACAAGTCAACCATCTATCGTGTTCAATTTGAATGTTCACCACTCCACTTATTAGCCACTTTCAACCAAAATACCTACATTCGTTTTGGGTTTGATTAACCTTCACCTCAATTTTTCTTGTTCCCTGTGTTCTTTAAATCTACCTGTGTGCTGCTACTCGTGACCCTTCTTTTTTCAATAATCCTATCCGGTTATTTTTTCGAATTGCTTATTATATTATGCAGTCTCATATCAATACTTTTAACTCTCATTTTGTTCATGCCCCCTACTCAAACGAAATGAGACCATAATTCGAAATTTGCTTGCCCATTTCGCTTGCTAATCATTATTGCCACCGCAAAAATTGAGAATCTTGAATTTTTAAGAACCAGCGGGGTTTTCTTCGAATTTCAATTCGCGTGGTAATATTGAGGCAAAAAAATTACAAAAAAATCATTAAAAAAAATGAATGGACCAGCAAATTTCTCCGTTACGGTTCATTCAATTGCGAGTGCGTGTTCGGTCTCCGGCTATGTTTTTTTTTTTTCATCTTCCCTATGCTAACAATGCAAAATTGAGTTGAGTTCGAAACCGTGTGATCATTCGAGTCTACGTTTTTTTGTACGCCCGTTCAATCTTCAAATTGTTTTTAATCTATTAATTCCAATTTCAAAACCAATAACCTAGTTGTTTGCTAGATCTTTCCCTGTATGTTTTCTTTCTTTGTCTTCGAATCGTGTTCCTTTCTATATTGTTTTCAATTATTTAATAACGTTATCCTGTGAATCTACCTTATATACATTTTGTGATGTTTTCAAATGCCACGCTTCCAAATTTTTTTTTCTTTAATCATTGTGATTTTTACTTAAGTTTCAAAAATTTCTGTTTTCATTTTTTTTTCGTTTTTAATAGTTCTCATTTTGTTAGATTGCATGTTCGCCCCTTTGATCAACAACGATTATTCACTGATAGTTTCTCTATGAGAAAGGCGTTGTAATTAAAATCAACCGCAATCACCTCAACAATCATCTACCTCAAGCACAACAAAATATCTAGCTCTCAACTCATTCACTACCTTCAAAGAAATATATCCTGTCGATTCGCACAAATTGTTTCCTCGTAATTCTTCGTCTACCGAGTGTTTTTCTATCTGGTTCAATCTTGATTATCCCTGTAATTCAATCTCATTTCCTCCAATTATCCCGTTTCATTGTTTTGTTTTGATTGTACAAGCCAATTAATCATTCAATTTTTTTAATAATTAAAATCATTGTTTCATTTTTTTTAATTTTTATATCCGTAATTTTTCGCCCTCATCACCTCCAATTTTCTTTTTCCGGTTTTCATTTAGCTGTGCAATGTAGGATTATGATTTTTTCTGAATGGTAGCTTCCTATGCGTTTAATAAATTGTAAAACAAAAATTTCTTGATAAGCAACTGTTTATTGAGACCGACCAATCTGAAGCTCGTTGAGAGCTTAACGAATATTAATATTTTCGACAACAAAAAACAAATGCAAATAGCCTAATTGCATATATCTGTAACAAGGTAATATTGGTATAAATATCATAATAAAAAGGGAAAAGGAATAAGTAAAAACACTACTCATTCATTATTCACAATTTATTTCAGAATATCCAAGTTAGTTTAGTTTCAACTTCACAAGGAACCGTTCACCGAATCAAAATCTTCACATTCTTTGATGTGTCAATAACTTCTAATATTGACACGCTCCCGGAAACGAACGAGAACCAATTGTTCGTATTGTGTTGTCGACAATTAACTACATCCATATGATGCTGGTATTCAATTTTCTTCTACAACTTATTAGTCGGCAAGTTTTTAAAAGAATGATGACCGACGAAGGTCGATGCCCGCCAAAATCGCTGAGGTCAGATATTATGTGTGAGATATCGCACTCTCGCGATGACATATCGACACCATCTAAGTTCCACGTTTTTCACTGAGGATCGGGAATTGTTGCGATCGAATTAATTGGTCGCCATCTCATGTTTGTTGAAAACTCATGGCGACTAGACAAACAATCATCGAAACTTATTCGGGCACCAAATTCAGTAAATAAACGTAATGTTTATGAGCAACTTACGAAACAAAAATTACTGTGGTGCATAGTGTTTGAATTGCGATCCCGATTATTCTATAGTTTCCACAGTTCGTTTGCAAAAATCGCGGTCTCCCGGGATTTGTTTAAACGTGCGATATCTTATAAAGAATCACGATTTTCATCGATTTTTTGATTTGCCCTTAAGTTGACCGAATGACCTATATTTTATTCAAGTTCAATTTTCATTTAAAACGATAGTTTGAATGCAGGAAAATAAGGGGTCTTTCAACAGAACACAGTAAAATTCAAAATTATTGAAAAAGATGAATACCCTAATCAGAACAAAACTTGTTTTACTACATAAATACCATGAATGTGAACGAAATGGGAAAAAATGATATTTTTTTAAACCCAATTTGTCAAGGATAAATTTTTTTTCTTTAAACTGCTTTTCTGGATTAAATAGTAAAAGATTATATTTTTAGATTTTTTTTTCAATCTTCCAGCAATCATTGTTTTTTAAAATATTGATTTTTCAAAAAAACAAACGGGTAATATTACTCATATATATTTATTCATTGCCTATTTTGAATGGAATGTTTACACATTGGCCGTCTCTTTATTTTTTCAACCATGTCGAATGTTCAATTATTGAATCGAATTGATACCATCGAATTGGTACTGTTGGGCCTCATTGACTATTCACGACAGTCCAACAAATAAAATATTTGCTGCATGTTTTTATGCGTTCAATTGCGATTGTCCGTAGCCACAATGTGAGAGTGCGCGCGAGTGTCCCTCCGACACCAGCCGGAGAAATGCCGGCGGTGTGTCGGTCGGTTTCGCCGGCCGCCGCCGCGCCGTCCTCCATGCAAATTCTTTCAGTTGTTGAAGGCAATGCCTACTAACTGGTAGGAACACACCGCACGATGCAAAACAGGACCGATTGAGGAACCATTGTATATGACGAGGACGCAGATGTTGAAGGTATCGTTGAGCGCTTGCGTATACGGCATTATTGTGAAGAAACGGTTGCGAGCGAGACAGAGGTGGTGAGGGTGGTGGGCGTGGTTCTGCCATCGACGCCTCGGAAAATATAAATCATTCCTATATGCTGGCCGGGCTCTGATCCAAATGCGCATTCCTGGATTGATTATCATTTTTCTTATTATTCCTGCAATCTCAGAAACAATCACATTTAGGACGGAAGAGGAGCAGGGAAGATTTTTGGAAGCGGTTAGTCTTTTTTTTAACGATTTTTGTAAAAGCCTTGAAAATGTTTGGCTAACCACGTATTTGGAATTTTTTTTCACATTACCACTTTAAAAAACGTTTAAAAACTATTATTAAATGACGTTTGAAGAGAAAAATCTAGAACAAAAATTGCCTCAATTTAGGTAAACGTCCTCACCATAAAAAAAACGAAAACAACTTTCAAAACAGGCGCGCGAAATTCAAGGCCAATGTATTATCAAATTCTGAAATTGAAATGAATTGACAGATTCCGTGAAATTCTTAATTGATCCATTATCTCAAAATCATTTATTGCGCAAGTTTTGAGTAGTAACGGCCTAGGTATAATTGACTGCATAGTGATTCAATAACGATTGTGTAATCCTATAATTATCTACTGACTATTAAGAAAAACAATATTCGAATTGAAATCCAAATTTGAATGATTAGTTCAGGCGAGCAGATGGTCATATATGTCCCAGCATTCAAATTTTGAAATAAGATTTGAAATTCAATAGCCCTGTGAATTTCAAGGACTAAAAATTTATTAAAAAAAGGGACAAATATTATATATGTCGAAATCGTTGATTCGAGAAATTTCGCCATTCGATTTAATATCGATTGCAATATCGTGTAATTGTAACCAATGCAACACATCAATAATACCATGACGGTTTATCAAACAATTCTAAGGAGGTATTATTTGAATTGAACATTCAAAAAATGAGAAAATTCAAAGTAAAATATTTGCTCACTCGTATTGGGCAATTGTTAAACATTATACTTTTCGTGTAACAAATAAGTAAACAAATTAAATTCACGCCCCAATATTTCTTATCATTTTTTTGTTCGAATTCATCAAAGCCAAACAATGCCGCTCCTAATTGCCTCGGAATTAAAAGTGGAGGTATTCTGATACCACCCTAAAAGCAATCTAGTTTTACTTCAAAAAACGTGCGTAATAGGATTAAATATTGAAAATCTATTGAAATGTAGTGCTCCATTTCCTAAAAACAGACCGGTTTTATTGTAAGTTGGGTTAAATGCATGAAATCGTTTTTTGTCGTTTCAGCTAAAGAAACGAGAATATGATTTATTCCAAGAAGAAATGAAAAGAGAATCGGAGAGAAGAGGTCAAAGGTTCACCGGAGTGGCACTGGATCATCCAACACCGGGCTCGAATGATTATAGCAATATGCTGCCTGAGGAACTTCGCCCGCCATCACAGAAGCATCACCGCCCCGAAGCTCTAACGGCAACAGAAGCAGGTATTGGAAAAAAATGCATTTATCGATTTAAGAGAAAAAACTTGGATTTAAGACGTTGTGAATGAGTTTGGAGAAAACGACAATTGGTGTTTTGCGTGTGTTACTCCTATTACGAAGATGAAGCCTGAATTGAGGCGCTCAATAAGAAATCTGTTGGAAATGCGTAGAACTACATATCCAATAAGTAAGAATTCTTGCCCGAAAAGTTTTTTTTCAGAAAATTGTATTATTATTTTTAAGATCTTGTTTCTGATGACTGTCTGTCAGCCCGGAATACATCGAAATTAAAAAAACAGAAATGCTCGTTCAAATATTGCCAGACATTGTCAGTTGTCGATAGAGAAGCCGGTAATGATTTGCACTTTGACACGCATATAATTAGCATAATTTTGTCGTCTGGACGAATTTTAAATTGATGAAAACCGAATGTCATGTATTTTACCATGAAAATTTCAAATAATTACTAAACTTACACATTTTAGCCAGATCGTTTGTCATCCGTGGGTGCGCTGAACATTTTGGCGCCGTGAATGTGGAAGAGTTTGAGAAAAAAAGCGATTACTCTTGCGAAATGTAAGAATTTCAGCAAATGAAATTTAACTTTTTTTGTGATTCAACAGGTTGCATGAGGGACTTGAGGTGAAAGAATGCATTTGTAAAACTGCTAAATATTGCAACGCTGGATGGAACAAAAGAAGCGCATCATCGTCTGGAGCGCCTACCATTATTATGATTATTTTTCTTCTTCCTTGTTTGATTTTCTTTTAAGTCATTCAGCTTTACCGATACATTTCCATCGGGTAAATAGTAGAGCAGCATCGTATTTTCACATAGATAAGCTAGAACTCTGTTTTTTCTGCTTTAATGCTGCTAACTAATCTTATTGTTCGGTGCACCAAAGACGTTGTTTTATATATATTTTTTATTATTAATTTCTCATCCAATCCTCACCTCAACTTTAACAAACATGGCCTTAATCGACTATTCTTTATGTATTTCATATGGTTGTATTCTGTTGCTCTTTCGAAATTCGTGTTCATTTTTTTATTACAATGTTGACATCAAGTAAAGATAACAAAATATTTTGAAATGGGGGCGATTATTATTATTAGAAATTAGGTGGAAATTATTAAATCTGTAGATCAACAAAATTGGCTAATAACAACTGGAGGTCGTTGTTTGATAAATGGATGAAGGAATTAGCTCTTGTAACAAACGCCGTTGTATGGTGCGTATCCTGCACAGCACTCCGGATACTGTTGCTGAAATGATTATTGAGTTTGTCATTTGCCCATATTAGTGTTAACACTTACGAAATAAGCGTCGTTTTGACCCGACTGTGGATCCTTGTATTCAATGTTGACAGTTAGTAGGGCTGTTGGACACTGATAGAAGAACCGCTTCTCGCAGAATCTTGTTGTAGATTGCCTCTTGACTCTTTGAATTGTTGAATGCAGAATTTGGCGGGTGGGAGGGTGTACTTCACGACTGAAATATAATTATTCGAATCCCTTAATGACAATATTTATAATTTACGCTTGAATTGTTGGTGGTTTTCGTTGGGCGATTCGTGGAAGTGGAAGAGAGCTTGCTAAAAAAGAAACAACAAAAATTAGAATAATGGAATTGAATTACATCTCGCGTATCCGGAACTCTTGAGTTTGGGATTCAAAAAGTTGTTAGAACCGAATTTAAGTTTTGGGATCAAATCACATGGCATGAGAAGTCTTCCGTTGCAAATCATTCCTTTCTTAGGTTTCGCGCAGGCTTGAGTGTTGCATGCCCCATCCTCTAGGTTTGATCCGCTAAAATCAATCATTTCAATACGAAAAGATGCTGCTGGCATACTGGCACTGCTCATTTCCTCCATAGCATGCACGTACACGTGTTCGTTTTCCGCATCCACCGCATGGTTGCGAGCAAACTGACCATTCTCCCCAAAGTCCCCAACTTCCAGTTTTATAGTATGGACTGACAGTTGTTGTCGTCACGATGGGACGATTCTAAAACGATAAACGATCAAAATAAAACCGAAATTTTCCATTGAAATGTGCTACATGCTTGAATCATGCCAATTGCATTTCTTAAGAAACAAAGGGACAGAGATAATAATAAAAATAAATAATTAGTGCACGTTCGAAAAATGTTAGAAAAAAAAACGAAAAACTCAAGTGACAGGTTCTCACAGTAGAAGCTTGCGAAAGTGATGTGTCAGATGTGTTGGCAGTGTTTGAAGAATCGGGAATGTGAGGAGTGCTCGAATCATGCGTCATTGAAACGTGCTCCGATATCGGCGACGCCAGCTCGATCAAATTTGTGTCTTCAGCTGATGTGTACACCTCACCGGTAGGTGTATACCTAACGATGTCATTTGGTATATGAACCCATCCACTTGCCGTTAAAGTCCAATAAGGTCTTGTCGTTGTTGGTGCAGAAGTTGTTGTAGTTCCGCCGACTGAAACTAGGTCAATATTTTCGTCTTCCAATTTTTCATACCTGCTTGATATCTTAAAGAAAATCCTTTCCACCCCTTTCCAGGGTTGCTTGAACCGCGGAAGATGATAATGACCTCCTCACCCTCCGATCTTATAATGGCTGGTTTACTGCAACAAAATCGTGCTCCAGTTGAAGTTTTTTGCTTGAGCCATTTGATTTCTACATAACTTGTGCATGGATCAGTACATTGGAAGTTCAACGTGTCCATAATGATATCGATTTGACCTCCCGGATTCTGAATTGTTTATGTTTGGGTAAAAGACACGCTCAACAGATCCTCCTTCAATAACGCACTCTTAATCTCCAGACACAATTCGCATTGGCGTACACTTCACCGCTCAAAATCGTTTGGTATTCCGATCGTGCTGTATAAGTTCCACCGCACCCAGCTATAAAATAACTAAATAGTCGTAACCTGGATTCGACTTTTACTTTGCTGAACCTTCTCACAATAAGTGCCACCGTAACCACTTGGACATCTGCATTGATTACAATTGTTTGGATCTGTATATCCTTCGTTAACGCATGGAAGAACCTGACGACAAATGTCTGAAAATATGTATTTCTCGAAAATACAAGTTACAGGCGGCCTTACGAGAGCAGTAGCGAATGTTGATCATTTTGGCATCCTTGAAAGAAAGTCCATCACGCTGACCAATCGTGTTTTGATATCTTCTATCTCTCGTTAAAATTGTATCGCTAAAGTGAATCAAAGATGAAAAAAGTTTGTGTGGCGTCATGAAACCTGGTCCAGTCATACGAGAACGATTTAGCTCCATAATGCATCACTGATCCCAAATCGTACGGTTGTCCCAAATTGTCACTTGTAGCCGGTGTTCTCTTCGCAAAATTTCCCTCTGTCCCTCGAGTGATGTATTGAGAAACAATCGCAATGTAATCGTCGCGATCAACGCGAGACTGTTCGTGCCATAAGCCCAATGCATGTAGGGTTTCATGGGAAACGATACCCAACTTGAAATGACACGAATGAGTAATAACCATTAATTTTGAATTTCTTACACTGTCACAACCGTAACCGATAGAAATAGATTGACGACCTCCAACTCTTCCAACGTTTGACCAACATCCGTTTCCTCGATAATATCGCAAACCGTCTCTACAAATATTTCTGACTAGGGTAGTTTAAAAAACATTGATTCTGTTCAAGAAACATTGTGAAGGACTACTTTATTAAACATGGAATAGCTTTTAGAAATTTTATCTTCCAAAAATAAAATTATAGCTTCCAGTCTTTTGTTAAATGCACTTAAAATGCACTCTGATACCCATCTTTTGAAGGGGCCAAATTCGAATAGCATGGAAAAATGAAAAAAAAACGTTCGCAAAAAAGTTCGATACGAATCAAGAAAACCATTTCTCAAGGCTGTCTATATTTTTGCATTATTTTTTTTTACCTGTCCGGTCCATTTTCTTTGAAACGGAAGCATACATTCTGTTCAACATGTCTAATTGCATTGCGGATAAGCTGTCTCCATGATTCTGGACGAAGAGAGTTCATATATTGAATTGCCAAAAAGTGACACTAACCTTCTCCTCCATAGAATTCGTACGAGATGGTCAAATTCGGCCAAAAGTTACGCACGTCTGGATGAGCTTGGCGTCTGGATCTTGGACTTGCTGAATATTGTAGAATTCAAAGCTGAATTCAATAATTAATCTGTTACAATTTGCTTCCTTTAATAGTGATTCGGCTTGTGGAAGAGTCAAGATAATATCGTTTTCGAACACTTCGTTCCACAATTTTCGGTTTACTGTAGCTTCAGTTTTGTCAGTTTTTATAGACTTGTCAAGGTTATCGGCAATGGCTTTGACGGCATTTGGGTCCTAAAAATTCATAGCCATATTGAGTATAGTTAAAACGATAAATGTTACATAATCGTGTCCATATTTTTTTGCATGCTTTTTGTAGAATGCTCTTAGAATTTCTTTGACTTCTGCGTAGTTTGATACAACGTCATTAGCAATATACTGTAACAAAAGAAATTAAGTCTTTGACCGATGGATGCCAATGTTACATCTCCTGCGACCGACGCAAGTAACGTGGCCAAAAGAACGAAGCAAGTTTGAGAATGCATTCTGCAAAATTTTGATTTGATTACCTAAATCTATCATAAATTATCGAAAGTGACGGATAAGACAAGATATATTGCAAAAAAAGGTCAGAACGTTTTATACACATTTTTTGCGCACAGCATGACTCCGAGACTATTCAAAAGGTGAATGAGAATGCTAATAGAGAACAGGCTCCGCCCAGCGGTGAAATCGTCGAGATGCCCAACAATGCACTTAGAAAAGGGTACCGTATCGACACATCTTTTCTCGATTTATGAGACGTTAAGATCTTCACTGGGTCACCAAAGGACGCATTCAAACATTGGGCCGCAAGTTGCGACACGACAAAAATGAATTCATGAGACAAAAATTGGTATGTTTCAATTTAGAAGAAGAGCAGGCAGCAAGATCTTTTCGAGATACCGACTGTACCAGCGGAACACAAGAAATAAATATCTGTTGATCTTGCTTCCCCCAATCTATCGGAGAGCGTTTTTTTCTTTTTTGAACATTCAAACATATGCAGGTGCGAAACGAAGTGATTTATCTCCGATGAACTTTTCTTTTCCTAATTTCAATTTCCCTAAATCATATTCACAAAAAATCACAGAACACCGAAATTTTTTGAGAATGGGAGCCGAATATGAATTTCATAATATAGTTGGAATTTTTGATGCAATAAATTAAACTCGTAATACCTCCCAACTATTCCCATGTCAAGATGATGAACGACGCATATATTGACCTTACCGCTCGAACAGTTTTCAGAATAAATGAAGACTGTTTGTTTAGCCATCTTTAAAAGCAACAAACCCGATGGATTTTCTGTTCAAACTACGCGCAGAGAAGTAGCGTCTTAAAAGAAATTTACAAGCCCGTGAAACTTTCTACCGTCAGGCCCTAAACCAATTATCCAGCTCAAAAACCGAAAATCGAAAAAAGCAGAACGTTGAATAATTAACTTGAGTTCAACGTTATTCGTTGTTCTATGATGCGATTAAAATTGGCCAGACGGCTGTAAATACAATCTGATCTCAATCGCCTAATTCAGACGAGAAGCGTAGCCTATGAAATAATGCGTATTTCTCATAAATTGAAAATGAATGAGGAAATCGTTAGAGTTAAATGGTCGGGTTTTTAAAGGTTATATTTAAATATATTATATTATAAGAGCGTTATAAAAAATCTTATTTCATTAACGTGACTTCTGACTAGTGAATTTCATTCATCGAAATGGTATTGACAGAAACTGTTCTTTGTCGTAGACACGAAGCTTACTACAATGGTGCGAGAAATAATTAAATTACTGGGATTAACATAGTTTGAAAGGCGCAATGCGGAACTTTTTGCGGTCTGGGCAATCAAAATTACAAGGAGAAGACGACTATTTAAAAGTTGAGAGCGTTTTATGACGGAGAAGTTGGTAATAGTAAAATCGCATATTCAGGTGGTATGATATTGAACGTTTAAAGCAAAAAAATGATCATAAAAGATGTTTGTTCAATTCTTGCGAAGAAGGTATTCAAAATACATCGAAACTTCCGTGATTTTTTTGGCTATATACTTACAATAACAGCTGTAAAATTTACAGTAGTCTGTGGAAATTATCACAAGGGGGGATGCAAAAAAAAACAGATGAGAATTAGAATGAAGTAAAAAATAAAAATCAATTTTTTTCTGTTTTAATTTTACCCTATTACAGTTTACCTTATTCTAAATACATTTTGTATTCCCTAGTAATATTATCTTGAAAGGGATGATAGTCTATCTCAAAACTCAATAAACTTGAAGTAAAAGCTGAAGTTAATGTCTCGCTACTTCTTTACAAATATTAAAACTTATCTCTACATGGATATCTTTAAAGATATAGTGCATATGAAAAGTCGTGAAAAATAGCTGCTTGAACAGACGAGACTGAATAAATGAAGCGGAACGGTTCGGCATATCCCGTCAAACCAGACAATGCAAACCGTCGACGTCTGACCAACGCTAATAAGATTAGCACCAATCGTAGCTCACTTAAAAAGTGCGTCAAGATACGTGCTTTTATACCAATCGTCGAGTGGTCACCGCGTCCATCCCCTTGGGGTGGTCCTGTACTTCTTCGAGATTTTAATCATCTTAATTCGAATTAGCCATAGGAAGATGAGGCGTCAAAAATTCAAAAAAAAAGACCTGCAAGACAGCTCCAACATTTCACACCTATGGTGTTACAGTAATCGCTAATGTGACAAGTACAAGCATACTTTTAATCTTGCAGAAAAAAATCAGGCGAGACTTTTCGAAAATTTTGAAATCGGATCACCTACAGTAGACTCCCAAGGTCGAAACAGAGCAATGTGATCACGGTGGCAATAAAATTGAAGCAAATCCGCGGGAAAAATGTATAGCATACATAGGCATAATTACAATTGTTGTCTTAGCGCATTAGTCGGGATATTTTAAAGCCTTCCGTTCGAAACCTGTTGTTCAACTAAATAGCCAAGTTTCGGAACTTTCTTCAATTATTTATATCAAGCTTGGAAATCCAAGCCAAAAAATATAGCATTTGGGTGCGGTGTAGACATAATGCTTTATCTCCCGGTTTTTTTTTACGTTTTGGTCTGTTTCAGACAGTTTTTATTCTTATCAAATTTGCGGTATCCAATATCAGATTGAAGCAGAACTGATGGTGGCTACTTCCGGTTCATTTTTATATATTAGCTTAAATTTTTTTAAATTTTTGATTGGTGATTTGAACTCTGATCTGTCCAGAGTTTTTCCATTATCCAGTTTTTGCGAATACGTAGACGTCGTTGAGAGATTATATGCTTTGTACCTAAACCGAAATCACCAATTCGCCCTTATCCAATTAAGATGCCGTATCAAACCACAAAAATTCAATTGTCTGCACATCACTATCAAACATTTGTATCGTGTTTAAACGGTTTTTGCTAATTGATGTCATCGAATCGTTTAATTCTAATGAGATTTTAAAAATCAAATCCAGCTGGTGATGAATGCATTTAGTGTCTGTTCTATGATTGGGGTCATTGAGACGATTGCACGCCAGCACCGTTATGCCCTTTGATGGCGATAGTTTCGATCAAACCGTTTTTCATGCCTCAGTGTACTAATGATTTGATTATTTTCATCGATCACAAAAGAACCCCCCGTCAGTTTTCTGCTTGATTTCATTTATTTAATCTGCTATCCAGCGCTAAATTCCAATCACTGATTGCTGCATTCTTGTTCAGTTGACAAAGGATAAAGAAAAACATTTATTCACATTCAGTAATGCCTCATCATACTGCTACAATTGACTTTTATTGTCAGAGCTCACTTCTGATTATCACAATTCTTACTTTGCCAGCTGCAATTAGTGTACGAGAAGAAAAAAAAAGAATATACAATAAATAAAAGCGATTATATACGCAAACATATATATATAGTTGTGGACAAGTTTGGGATTTTCCTATAAGATGATTATTCCATAATTTCGAACTCATGGAGCTTGAGCTTTTTCAAGTTGCTTTCCAAGCTTTCGACACCCAATGCAGCGGCTTCATCACGAATGTCGGCGTAAAGAGCGGACGACCTTAAGCATTTACTTTCACAATTTCTAACGAACATTGCTTACAAGTATCTCTCTCCAAAACTTGGGAGAACCGTCACGATCAGTTTTCCGGCCATTTCCGGACGAGCAGCAAGCTGAAGAGCAGCAGAGACGTTAGCTCCGGATGAGATACCTGAATTATATGTTACACATGCTGTAATTAATCGGGTTTTTGGCACGAGGAAAAGGTAATTCGCGCGCACATCCGCTTCGAAATTCGATTGACGTCGATCATTCGACCTTTGGTAATTTCATTTAGTTAAGCCGGTAGGCTTCTTGCTACATTTAATGTTTTAATTAGGTAGGGCGTCGTTTCAAACGATAACAGAACACAAACACACATTTAGATTTTTGTCGTGAAATATTTGAAGTGTGTTGCATTACTCACCACAAAGGATTCCTTCTTCAAATGCAAGACGTTTGGCCATCACAACAGCCTCGTCAGAATGAATACGAATTACATCCTCGTAGATCTTGGTGTCGAGTACCGCTGGAGCAAATCCTGCACCAATTCCTTGAATTTTGTGTGGCCCGGCTGGCATTCCGCTGAGAATCGCAGACTCCTCCGGCTCGACAGCAAAAATGCGAACCGAAGGCTTCTTCTCGAGCAAGTACTTTCCGACACCAGTGATAGTACCTCCAGTTCCGATACCGAAAGCAACAGCATCGACTTTACCGTTCGTTTGACGCCAAATTTCGGGACCAGTCGTATGATAATGAACAAGTGGATTGTTGATGTTGTCGAACTTTAAAATATTGTATTGTTCGCTCGGAACTAGTGATTATAATCATCGATTGTACCTGAGCGAGAATGTGCGAGCAGGGAATATCGCGACGAAGTTGATTAGCCATCTCAATAGCTCCACGCATTCCTTTAGATGGATCAGTGAGCACAAGCTCAGCGCCATATGCTTTCAAGAGTGTGCGCTGAAATATAAACAATAAACACATTTGTGAATGGTAATAGCATTGCATACACGTTCGAAGCTCATCGAGGCTGGCATTGTCAGTATGCAGCGATAACCGCGAGCAGCAGAGACGAAAGCGAGAGCAATTCCAGTGTTGCCCGATGTGGCCTCGATTAATGTGGTTACGCCGGGTTTGATCTAAATAATTTATAACTTGAATATTGTGTTATTTAGATAAATAATGTTTTCGTTTTTTTATTTATTTAAATTAAAAAAAAAATTGAAAAATATTGACCTTTTTTGCGTTTTAAAAACCAGTTCTCCTTTCTGTGTTTGTTTTATTTGTAACATCGACTATTTACTGAGCTTTCTCGTTTTATGATTAGTGCTTGCGAAAATTATACGCTTGGAAATCAACTTTCGAAAAGGTCGATCTCACTGAATGCATTATAATTTGCATTTAACTAGATTATACTTGACCATTCTCAACTACACATTGATTTCAAATTTAATAGTATCATTCCAGGTCTTGTTTCGTTGGTCAAACCACAAAGTGTTCTTTGAATATGTCTTAGAAATCACAAGTATTTGCAAAGATATGATTGGCGCAGTGGTATCACAATGTGTGCGTTTTTATGAAAACTTTATAACGAGAGCGAAATTAATTATCTTTTTTTTTTCAATTCTATTCACAACTTAGCTAATCGCTCATTTCAGAGTATATTAGTCATAGCTTGGGGAACTGATGAAATATTTAAACATGCCTCATACTTTGAGTGGCATGAGTGTAACGAAAACACTAACACGCTTTCGCACATGATTCAAGGAAACCGATTTAAGTTTTGCAATGTGTTTAGTATGCTCAGATCGATATGGCGTTGTATGAAAATGAGGAAGTTCGCGGGTTATACATTAAAATGTTGCTTAATGGAAATGGTCTCTGATTGACACCTTGTTTGAGGATTTCGCGCATTTTCGTTGAAAACATCAATTAGGTTGAGATATTTGGCTTTTAATGGAAAAATGGTTCGACTTACAGTTCCTTCTTTTTCCGCCGCCTCAATCATTGCCAATCCGATTCTGTCCTTGACGGATCCCGCTGGAGACATGAACTCAAGTTTGACAGCAACTTTTCCGGGTAATCCAGCACCGAGCTTGTTGAGATACATCATTGGCGTGTTGCCAATAAGCGATGTGGCGTCAGATCCAATGGAAGCGCGATCAGCCATCTTCAAGAATACATCATAACTAGACATTTTTGTGAAATTCATTCGGATAGAACAAGACTTTTATAGTGGTGTAATGCAAGCTGAGAAACGCCGATATGATTACAAATAAAATCGATTTTGCAAGGATATAGTTCAGAAAACAAAGATTGGAATGAAATATACCAAATTTCCCATTATGAACAAAATATTCGTTGCGATCGTCACGTAATGATGACAATTAAAAAGTGAAATTTTGAGAAAAACCGGAATTATTCAACAAACTCATTGAATAATTGAAGTTGTTTTGTTAATGTTTTTTTTCTCGAAAGCCACGAATCAATCGTTCTAGACAACAACGAGATGATGAGCAAACTGATAGAGTGCAACGGAACTCTGCACTTTATAAATATGAGAGTCTCAAAAATCAATGGTGTTTAATGACGAGTTTCAACATTTGCATCGGAACTCTGCACTTTATAAATATGAGAGTCTCAAAAATCAATGGTGTTTAATGACGAGTTTCAACAATTGCATCAAAGCTATTGAGTAGAAATTGAAGGGAACTAAACATGGCATTTGACAGTTTTACGCTCGTTCCTATCACTTGTAACAATATTGTCCTCTATTGTACTTTGGCGTCATGCCAAGCGTTCAAAAGACTGCTAGTTGGCCAATCAATTGGTTTCCATAGAGCGCACTTGTTGCCGCAACACGACATACAATCATTGTGTTGCACAACCAACGCCATCTCATCGTTTGCTTCATATTGAATATAAAACTTTTATTTACAGTTCTAACGTTCAAAGCAAATGCTCGACTTGTAATTTGTTAACCTACTCCTATCTGTATCAAAATGCTATCGAAATATCTTCTCACATTTAATCTTTTGCTATTGGCCGCACATGGATGCGAGGATTTAAATATTGCGGCATTACGGTAAACTTTATTGAATATTTGCAAACTGTTGCATCAAGCATATTTCAGGGAAGAAGCTCATTCTATGTTTCTACATGGATATAAGTCATATATGAATCATGCGTATCCGGCGGATGAATTAATGCCTTTGTCTTGTAAAGGACGAATCAGAGGTGTTACGCCAAGTCGCGGAGACGTAGATGATACACTTGGAAAGTAGGGACAATCAAGATACGGATAATTTTTACTCAAATTTCAGCTTCTCCCTAACATTAATCGATTCTTTGGATACACTGGTCGTTCTAAACGAGTTTGATGAATTTGAACGCGCCGTCAATCTCGTCATCAATAATGTGAAATTCGACGCGGATTTAGTCGTTAGTGTGTTTGAAACAAATATTCGAGTTCTAGGCGGATTAATATCAGGTAAATCAATGTATTTCATTTTCTTAATGTCGATAATTTTCTCTAAAACCAGTTATGGGTTTTTTAATCAATGGAAAAAAACTGAATTGCTTTGAATGTGTAATAGTACACTCACGGGAGAGTTGTGTTAGAAAACTTGTTAAAGAAGACGACTGATGACATAAATAGATTTGAACAACAGAAATTTCAAAAATAGAAATTTAATTATGAAGTTAAAGAATTATAATTGTGATTCATCACAAAGAAAAAAAATAATGCACTTTTCCAATAAGTATGACTGAGCAAAATATAAAAGTACATTTTCTTGCGTGCTTAATTCAATTTTGATTTCACGGCATTTCTTGGCATCTTAATTTCTTAGAATGCAGGCTATTTTGAAATTTAGTGCATCTCTGCTCGTTTCTATTGAAATGATGCTAGTCGGACAGTTGTGTAGTGCAAATTTTGTATCATGATGAAAGATTCGGCATTTATCGTGCGCTACACTCTGCAAAAGTCTTCATTTCTTATCTTGTGAGAAAAAAAAATGTATGGGAAGGGAGTGAAGTTATTGGTTCTATGAGATTGTTTTTGTGCATTTGCATTTTCAGCTCACATAATGGCTCTGCTCGTCAAGGAAAAATTCCCACAGCGCTTAAAGAAGTACGACAAGCAACTTCTTCAAATGGCTGTTGAAGTCGGGGATCGCCTACTTCCCGCTTTCAACACGACATCTGGATTGCCCTATAGCAGAATCAATTTGAAATTTGGAATGTTGGAAAGCTTGAAGCGGCAAAAGGATACATGCACAGCGTGCGGCGGAACTATGCTATTAGAGATGGCAGCGCTCTCAAGGCTATCCGGAAATCCTATTTATGAATTAAAAGTAAATGGTTGTTTACATGACATCGCGTAAAAGAGAATTAAAACATAACCCGCTTTGCACCTGCCATTTCGACATGACATAGTTGGGTATTAGGTGGAAATAAGATTATTCGAAGAATCATAGATCACCCTTTAATTTTGTATAACAGAGAACAATGAAGGCATTAAAATTCATTTTAATCATAAAAGGGTTTTCGCATGTTGACATGGCAATTAGAGGTCTTAGAATCTTATATGAAAGATCCTCGAGAGGAATCCATAAAGTTTGGAATTTCCCACACTTCTATATTAAAAATTCATCAATCGTAATGTTTTCATTTTGACCAAGTAAATTGATCTTTTTGAGCTTAATATGATTAATCTTTGAGAATTTACTACGAAAATAACGAAATTGATTAAAATTAATGCGCTTGTAAAGAAAAGTGGAAGCATCGTTGGTTTTTAATACAAACCGATTAAACATGCATATCGAAAATTGACTTACAGGCTCGTAAAGCGATGGATTTCCTATGGCAGCAGCGTCACCGTTCATCCGACTTGATGGGCACTGTGCTTAATGTGCACTCTGGCGACTGGGTGAGACGAGGTGAGCGAATTATAATAATTGTCGCCATGGCAATCGGTTTGTCAGCCTGAGTCTGCATTCCGTTTGTTGGATTTGCCGATAATCGGTTTAATTTTAGAAAGCGGCATCGGAGCTGGAATCGATTCGTATTATGAGTATTGCCTCAAAGCGTACATCCTTCTTGGAGATAGCAACTATCTGGAAAGATTTAATAAGGTAAACGAATTGACAGTGAAAACCGGAAGGACGAATAAAAATACGAAGCAAAGTTAAGATTGTGATGTAGGAAGTATAACAAAATGAAATAAAAATGTTGGCATTGAGTTTATGGGAAATCTATACTATATTTGTTGGCGTGAGAACAAATGATTTCTGATTAAAACTCCGGGCGCCACTAGAAAAATGTGTACTTTCAGCATTATGACGCAGTCATGAGATATGTTAATAAAGGACCACTATTTATTGATGTTCATATGCATCGACCTACCGTGGCCACTAGAGGATTCATGGACTCGCTTCTAGCTTTCTGGCCAGGCCTTCAGGTTTTGAAGGGAGACGTGAAAGAGGCTATTGAGATGCACGAAATGTTGTTTCAAGTTATTCAGGTAATTGAGTGCCACATCAATCCAAAAGATATAATGTGATATTTTAGAAGCACAAATTCTTGCCTGAAGCGTTCACACACGATTTTCAAGTGCACTGGGGTGAACATCCGTTGAGGCCCGAATTCGTTGAAAGCACTTATTTCTTATATCGCGCCACAAAGGATCCGCATTATTTGCACGTTGCTAAGCAAATCATGGACAGCATTAACAAATATGTCAAGGTTCCTTGTGGGTTTGCGTCATTAAAAGATGTGCGGACGATGAAAAAGGAAGATCAGTACGTATTCATTCTCATCGTTTATTGAGACATTTGAAATTTTCAGAATGGAATCCTTCGTGCTATCGGAAACGTTCAAATACCTCTACATGATTTTCTCGGAGCCATCGGATTTGATTTTTGATCCTGACCACTATGTGCTCACCACTGAAGCGCATTTTCTACCAATTAGCATGGGATCGACAGAAAATGTAACGCTAATTAGTACAGCGCTGAGAATATAATAACGAATAATTCAGATTCAACGAAAAATGGTGCTTCGTTCCGACACAAAAACCGATGAGTTCGTTTGCGCAAATCCTATTGATTTCACAAAATTGCCAACTGAGAGAGAAGAGGCGCAATTGATTCGCGAAAAAACGAAAATGCTACTTGGAGAGCTATATCACCTTCAGCATGACGGGAATCAAATTCCAGGACGGTCTTGCGAAACTCAGTGAGTATCAGGAATGGGTATAAAAAAGCAATTCCGAGAAAATTCGCTGCTTAATATTTTGAGCCCTCCCCTCCAAATACCTTCAAATAACTACATTATGGCAATCTTTGTTTCTAAATTTTTCATACGGGAATTTTGATCCAAATCTGGGAAATTTTCCGAACATTAATGATAAAAATGCTGAAACGTAAAATATGTGTGTTGAAAACGTGCTGAAAAACAATGCTGAAACGTAAAATATATATATATAAATATATCCAACCAATAGTGAATTGATAGAATGGCAGTCAGAGGGCAAAATTACATTCTATTCTAAAAACACATTTTCTATTCAAGTAATTCAATATCTGTTGACGCTCTCTTGACTATTATTTTCCTGAAAACCCATTAATTCTTATCTTAATTTATCCAATAGGCTCTGGTGTTTTTTTTACAAGCAATTTGATTTTTAGCGGAAATAGTACTCATTTAAGGGAATTATTTCAGAAATGATCGGATTCGCGCTTGGGCATTTTCGGCTACGAATAAAGAGCACATTAAAGAATTAGCCAAAATGGGCGTCGAACTCGTTATTCTCGATGATGGACGGCTGCATCTTTCACACAATGCAGCGAATGTGAGTTGGTTTTTCGGGTAATGCCTATGTATGCTTGGTGTATGTATGGTGTAACGTGATTTTGTATTCTTTCCCTCTTCTCCGTCTCTCCCTTCAGACACTTTTCGCACTACTGCAACACGCAAGTAATTTTCGTGATAGATCACACAAACTATCGAATCCAAGCAGAACATGAAGTAAATTTTGTATGATTTCATTGAAGCACTAAACGGGAAAACAATAAATTATGAAAAACGAATTGGAATTATTGCGTGTTGCAGGGTATGAAGGTGAGCTGTGTCATGCTTGAATGGGTGTACTGTTGGAATGATCCGCGACCGGAGATCTCCAGAAATGTGCCGACGAAAGGAGGGAAGCTCGAACAACTTCGAATGCTTGCCTATCTGCTCGGATGTATCGTAATTGGAATTCTGACGCTTTCATTTTCCATCATTACCCTCATTAATTTGTATAACTTTGTTATGCGTTTACGACAAAGGGTCCGATTACATGACGACTAATATTCTTATCATATCTGTTTCATTCGAAATTCCGGTTAGAAATGTTTTCTATGGGTAAACCAGTAGTGTGATTTTATGTACGGGTTCAATCAAACCGCTCTTCTTACCACTTTTGTGTTTAGTCTATTATTGTAATATTAGCACTGTGATGGCAAACTTGAGTAATTTGTATTAATTTTCATGTTATTTGTTTTAAATTCGTATTGTTTTATTTCGAATAAATTTTATATTAATTATAGGCTGCTAATCCTTTAATGGCCCGTTGGGGTACCGAATTTATGCAGGAAATGGTTGCACTCGTTGCGAAATTGGAAAAGGAAGAGAGTAAGTTTTAAAACTAAAATATGTTGAAATTTAAAAAAAACGAGTTTCAGCCCAAATCGCACCAGCAGACAGATTTATCCAAATCTTAAGCTATCCACACTTTGGAACTAATTCTTACCACGCCTCTCCGGCTCAATTTGGAATTGACCTTGTTAAACCGTTAGTTGCCAAAGTTGCCATCGCATTTCCGTTCAAAGCCTGCTCGCCCATATTGAATAGGAACGAGCTCAATGGAAAAATTGCCATCGTTGAAAGAACAGACTGCGTGTTCCAGACGAAGGCAAAGAATGTTCAAATTGCCGGAGCAATTGGAATGATTGTAATCGGTGAGAATCAGATTTTTGAATTGTTTCAAATTTTTTGCAAATTCAGATTACGATTTGAATTCGCGATACACCGAAGACAAAGCCTCATTCGCAATGGCTAGAAATGTTGACGAGCATGACGATATCGCGATACCTTGCCTGTTTGTATATAGGCGCGAAGGTGAAATTATTCTGAACGCTTTCAAAAGGAATACTAATTCTATTGTAATGATGACAACGCAAAATTATTCTCCAGGTATATCAATGTCATAAAATGGTAATATAAAAATTCTTCAGCAATATTCTTCGAGGCGTTCTTCAGAAACGGAGTCGGAATTCGTGTCATCGAGAATCCTCAATGTCATCATGATGATGGACATTTTGTTGCGTTCGACACAGTCACAAACGTCATTATTTTCAATTTCCGTTTCGGAGAAATAAAACCGAAAACTGAACGAGAAATTGATTTGGTACTGTTCAAATGTTTCAATATGTTTTCAACTCATTTGATTTTCAGCTCGTTGAGAAGCATGTGGAAGAGTTTAGAAAATTCTGCCGATTCCTTGACGAATTCCATACGTTGAAGTTCAACACAATTTTGAGAATTGCTGCATTCAAAGCATTGAATAGAAAAATTGATGATTTCACACACGTTGAATGGCTGCCGGAAATTCTGGCATCAGTGATTTTGACTGAGGTTCCAACCTCAGTTCATAAAGCATTGCCAGGAGAAATCACACAAGTAATTTATTTAAATTACGAGCCCGACATTGACAATGCGATTTTAGGTACGATGTGTTCCATCGCAAAACAAATTAATTTGTACCACACTTGCTGCGTGATCAATCAAGACAGACAACTTTAAATCGAGTTGAACTTTTTTTTTATCATTTTTGCGGGTTCTAGTGCTTTGTGACATATTTCTAGAATAAAATATTGAATAAAAAAAGAAATCTCATCATGTGTTGTTGATGAAAGATTAAAAGTGACTAACATAGAAAATCTTCTAAAATAAAAAAAAGTTAAGAATATTTACACGTTGTTTGATATCGTGATATGAAAAAGCAGCTAATTTTTAAAAACTTTTCAAAAATCATTTGTTTAATTGTCGAAGTCGCGCGACTACGGAAAATCTGAACCAGAAAAATTAAACTTCAGCGGTATTGTCAAAATATTTATGAGATTTAAAACAAGAATAGATTAAGAGCTCTCATATCTAAATTTTTTGCCACTTAGGCAATTTTCCGTTTTTGTATTTTTATAATTCTTTCAGTTATCGACTTTTTGGAATTAATCTAACAACAATTGATATCGCGTTTCATTCTCAATAATGTTGGAAAATATCATATTTTGAATACGGTAATCAGGTAAGTAGCATAATGTACACACCGAACACTTCTTGAAAATACACAGTGTCTATTTTTCGTCGGGTCTCTAGCATTTCACAAATGTTGTCTTTTTTGATTATTTTTTATTCGTGAGAAAATGATGCTCTAGCGACTTTAATTCCCACGGGCTGAATTGTTTCGTGCAATTTCGCAATCCAGCCGCATTCAGTAAATTTTTGGATATTTTATATTCCACTCAAATTTTTATTTAAATATTTTGTGGAAAAAATACCTCATTTATAGTTCTCCAATAAATTATGCGCTTTTTCATCTCCGCTGGCTCATATTTAGTTTCGCTAACATTATTGCGGCTATTGTACATCTCTGGTTACTCATTAGCTTGTTGCAGGCAACAAATGCGCTCCATTGCACATATCCTATTATACCACTATCTTATTGCAATTTGAAAACAATTCAATGGTAGTGGTGACCTTTCAATTGAGCCCTCAATTTTCTGACTCTATGCATTTTTGCCTTCATAGCTAACTGTTCATTGATAATGCGTCAGAGAATATTATCGTCATTGTACACGTCTACCCATTTAATCACTCATTATTTATTCAGATGGGTGAAGAGCCAACGGAAAATGAAGATCCAGCGCCGAGACGCAGAAAAGTTCAGCTCGATGATTCCGAGTAGGTTTCTATTTCTCCTAATATGCGGAACCGAACCGTTTTCAGAGTATTTGAGGAATGTCACGAACAAGATCGATTCGCGGATGCTGGAGCGTACACCACCGAAGGCGAGCCGGATGGTGAAATTACGTAAGCTTTTCGAAACATTTCGTAAGCGATTGAAAAACGCACAACAATATGTCAATAACAATGATATTATGAACACTGATTTATTGATAGACAAATGTTTCTATGGCATTTTCGCACGCGTTTTTAATTCAATTCATTTTCAGAAAGGAGAGAATGGTGAAACGCAGGACTCGTCGCCAGCTGGAACGAATTCACTTCCAAATGGTTAATGAGAGAGTTGTCGAAGACATTACTGTTGATTTCCTGTATAAGCCTCATACCTTATCAATTCTTGGCATTATCGCGGTTGCCATTTCTTATAAAGCATTCACCGGGTGAGTAAATTGAATGTTGAGAATTAAAAAAAAAACCGGAATACTTTAGAATTCAATACCCTATTTCAATAAGCTTTAAAAATTGCGATAAGACTGGATAGTACATTTTTGAAATTAAGCGAAAATAGGAAAATGTAACACTTTTTTGCGTTCAAATAATGTGTGCTTTCAAAAAAAAATGTTTATTTATTTTGCGTTGGAATCATCACAAGACTACTCAACGTTTTGAAGAAGCGTGAGAATTTTAAGCTCGTGATTTTCTTCTTTAAAAAAAGTCAAACATTAAGTGAAATGTAACACTACATCTTAGTTCATTAACAATGTAAAAATATCTGACTATATAATTGATATTCAGAACTAGCAGTGTCTCAACGGAACAAAATGTGTACGAAGGATTGCTGGGATGCCTTGCTATGTTCCTTGTGGTTAGCGCACTCGCGTTTCCAAATGGGCCATTCATTCGACCGCATCCAGTCCTTTGGCGTGTGATTTTCGGAGTGTCAGTGGTTTATTTGATGATACTCCAATTCACGATATTTCAAACATATGCGGATATCAAGAAAGTTTTGGGATGGTTGGATCCAAAAGGATTGGCCCATGAAACGCTTGTGGAGAAGGAGTACGCCATCAATTGCTCCGATGTGAGCATGGAGCGTATTTGGAGTCATATGGATATTTTCGCCGTTGGTCATTATTTGGGCTGGGCTATGAAAGCCTTGCTGATCCGTCATGGTATCATATGTTGGTATATTAGCATTGCCTGGGAGCTCACAGAGGTAAACTATTCCAAAAAAATAAAATTGGATCAAATATGAATTCAGATCGTCTTCACACAGTTGCTGCCAAACTTTGCCGAATGCTGGTGGGACGCCCTAATTCTCGACGTTCTTCTATGCAATGGATTGGGAATTTACAGCGGTCTTATGATCTGCAATTGGTTCTCAATGCGTCAATACTACTGGGAGAGCATCAAGTGATGACCATTTTAGGGTTTCATAGCATTTTGAATTATTTTAGGACTATAAAGACAAATCGCGGGAGATTCAAGAGAATGGTTATGCAGTTCACACCAGAAAGCTGGTCAACTGTAAGAAAAATTATATAGTACGGCATATTCTTTTTATATTTCAGTTTGATTGGTATTCGTTTACTGGGACCATAAAGCGTACAATGGCAATTTACCTTTTTGTGCTCATATGGCTTGTATGTTTATCAATTGTTTGGCTCTATATTTTGTTTGTTTCAGCTCACCGAATTGAACACCTTCTTCATGAAGCATATCTTCGCCGTGGACACAAAACATCCAGTTGTATTTTGGCGATTGATTTTGATCGCCCTTATCGCCGCTCCATCTATCAGACAATTCTACCAGTACTGTACCGATCCTTTGATCAATCGTCTTGGTATGCAATGTTGGGTCTACTTGGCGGTGTGCTTCCTTGAAGCTGGAATCTGCGTTAAGTTTGGAATGTCAATGTTCCCAAGTGTTGCTCTTGGACCCATTTTCGCCTGGATTGTGTTCTTGGTAATTCTAATCAACAAAACTGAAAATGGTTGGGCTTATGATTTTTAGATAGTGGGCACATTCTGCAGCGTTTGGTTATCCGTCTGGTGGGCAAATAAATCATCGGTAAATTTGCACAAATCTACAATTTTAAGCTCAATCCTTTAGGCTACTGAATGTATTAACGTTGATGGTGAAGAACGTGCAATTTATCTCGACTCTTCTCACGAGAATCTCGGCGCAATTCAGGAAGACGTTCGTCGTCGTCGCCGCGATTTGGGCATATCGGAGTCGGACTTTAATTAAATTTACTATTCTGTGCTGGTCTTCTATCTGTTACTTAAAATGTTAGACATTTTAATGACTAGTGTTACAACATGTCTCAATTTGCATTTATGTACAATCATCTGGTGCTTTAAAAATACAATTATTTTAATTTTCCCCCATCTCTCGTGCAGCAAAAAAAAGGAAAAGGAAATCAAGAGCAAATCCATATCTAATTAATCAACTAATTCTTCGTATTGCTAATTCGTGACGTAATTGCTTTTCACCATGAAACTAATTACCTCGCCTTATTGGGAGATTATTTAAAATCTTTGATACCAGTTGCTTAATCGAAAAACCCAATCATTTTGCAAATATGCTCATCTTCTAGGTTTCCATCAGGAAGTGTCTCTTGTGACGTTTTTCATCGAAATGTATCGTTTCACATTAATTAAGCGCGCGCTGTTGAATTGTTGTTCTCTTCCACGGCCACAATTAACGAATCGAATTGTGTTTGATATTACGAGAAATGTTCATTTCTCATTATACCAATCGAATTCATCCCACGTTTCGGCACCAGACACTTTTTAGTTTCATTTTATTGCTATCCAAGATGCTCGGTAGGAAGGCCTTTGATCGCGGAGTCGGACATTCCTCGTGCCCATGCAATTTCCTCTCAAGCATGTCTATCTAATTGTGGCAGTCTTTTATTTTTATTTACTCTAGACATCTCAATTAAACGAAAGGTTGGGGGGAATTATTGAAACGAATTTTTAAAAAAATTTAATTTCTTATTTAATTGCCACCTAGCTAATTTTTTTTCAGTTTTCATTTTCATTGCCTATATATTAACTCTTCTGTGGAAGAGAGAAGACAAAATTGTCGGCGAGCGTTTTTGGCTCAAAAAGTTGAGAAATAAATATTCATGACTTGAGCTTCTAATATTTTATTCATTAATTGCTCTTGTACAATCATATTCCATTTGTTTCCTTTTTTACATTACGCCATTTTGTGTGTGTGTTTCTGAAGTGTTTTATATTTCCGCATGTTTTTTTTTCAGATATGGGATTGTGCGGAAGTAAAAAGGCGAACCTTTGTGAAATGTCGGATGAGGAAGTTGCGGCAATTCGCGAAGTTTGGATAAAGTAGCGTTGTAAATAGGCAACAAATATCTGATATTTCGATATTCAGAGCAAAAACTGACAATGTTGGAAAGAAAATTTTACAAACCTTAATTGAAAAAAGACCAAAGTTTGCTGAATATTTTGGAATTCAAAGTGAGAGTCTGGATATCAAGGCTTTGAATCAGAGCAAAGAATTTCATTTGCAGGTACTATTATCAGATTTCATTAATGTTAATTGGTGATTTTCAGGCTCATCGTATACAAAATTTTCTTGACACAGCTGTTGGATCTCTAGGCTTTTGCCCAATTTCCAGTGTTTACGATATGGCTCATCGAATCGGTCAAATACATTTCTATAGGTTTTTTATAATCGTTGTTACTAAAAAAAATCTTTAAATGTAAATATCTTGCAGAGGTGTCAATTTTGGAGCCGATAATTGGCTCGTTTTCAAGAAGGTTACTGTTGACCAGGTCACCACCGGATTAACGGATAGTTCTAAAGAAGACACTAATAGTAATGGAACGAATAATGGAAAACAAAAAGAGACCGAAGCGAATCCTGTAAGTTTAATTTCAAAATTTAATTTCTTTATTTCAATATGCAACTCGTAGATCTTATTAATTTCAATCCTCATCGAATATTTATTAGATAACCATTTCTGATGCAAAGAGGGATCTCTGATTTAAATAAATTCTCCTCATTAAAAATAGAATGCATTTAGAAATCTGCATGAATAATCAGTTTTGGTTACGTGTATTATTTAAAATTAAATACAATAAACATATGTTTGGAAACATTTTTTAGTACCTAATGGTCTTGCCCTCATTAAGTTTAATTACTGCGTGGGCGACAATAATTTCGAAGTCAGACTCAAATTGAAATAATTAATTTCAACTCTTGAGATCAAAGATTCAAAAGTTGCTCAACGATATTATAGGCAGAAAATTTTTTCCAGAAGCTTGTAAATTTTAAAAATTTGTTGTCGTTGATTAATTCGTGCAATTGTATCTAGTTTGCCTTTGAATAATTATTTATTTATTGAATGCATAATTGGCTTGAGGCGAGTCTCTGTATTTTTACATTCCATGATTCACTCATATTTATGAGCCAATAAATTTCAAAAATTCGCGAGAATTTGATTGAAGTTTGGTGCAAACTTCAAATTTTATGCAAATTGGCTGCAATTCGACCTCGTGCGTTGAAAAAATTGCCGGCGCCCTGCTGGTTTTCACGAGATCAATTGCTAAATTGTGTACTTTTTTTTTGAAAAGTACAAAAATCGACCAAAATTTCCAATAAACACCTTTAAAATCCCCATTAACACAATTTGATGATTCGCTTTTCGATGAAAATGAAAACCGGAACGAATTTTAAAGTATTTTTTCCGCTTTTCTGAGAATTAGGGGTTGAATCAGCCAGGGATCATCAATGCTATTTTTCAGATAACGGATATTCACAACATTTACAGCGGTGAAAATTGCCTTTCAAGGCTTGGCTGGAACAAATTGATGACTGTTATTGTTCGAGAAATGAAACGCGGATTTCTTGAGGAGGCCATGAGAAATTGTAAAGAAGAGGATAATAATGCTCTTCTGAATGCTTAAATTCACCAATGTTATTATGCATTTTTTTTACTCGCTTTAAAATATTTATTTTTCACGCGGTCATACAATTCCTAAAACAGTTCAGGAATTTTGGTTGCCCCGCCAACAATTGCATTTTATTTTGTTCAATACTATAAATACGATTTAGTTTGCATGAGGTGTGATTTTGTTTGTAGATAACAATGAGAATTGAAACGTGAATGATTTCATTTAAACTCAAAAAGACAAAATGATTATTTTGATGAAAAACACGAATACATAAGCTTTTGAACAATGCTACTCAATGGTTCAATCAATCAGAGAAAAATGGTTTGGTAAACGAGATAATCTCCCAATTATATATTTGCGAAAATGTCACACAAATGTCAAAAAAATATATATGTGCATTGCATACTATTTTATTTATTCATTCGCAAAAAATATACGTTATAAAAAATCACACGGGTTATATTGCGGTTTAGGCAATTCGAGTTGGCATTTTATGGTTATTAATTTTTTTTTCGGGAAACATTGAAAGCAATAGCCTATTCTTAATTTGAAAGCTTAAGCATTAACATATGGCTCTGGAATCCAGCCCGTTTGGTTGGAAACCGTGTCACGCACGAATACCCATCCACGGGTTCCAGATTTGAGAAGAACGACCTGAATAAAACAAAAATCATATCAAGCATAGCTAACTTATTTGATTACTTTATCGCCACGGTTTACTGTCATTTGTTCTCCAGATGTCGCATTGAAATCTTCGTTGACAATCAAAATACTACCATATTGGGCTGATGTGAAAGCCGACGGAACCAAGACTTCTAAAATTTCTCACTTATAGCAAAAATCTGACATAAAAGATTTACCTTCAGCTTTGCTTCTGGTGGAAGGATTTCGTTGCGGCGGGCGATGAGCCGGTGAAACATTAGCGACATAGTTGGATTCAACGTGATACCGTTTCGCATCCATATCTCGCTCAGAAATTGGCCTTTCAATTGAAGGATGCACATGAATTTGGCTGTTTCTCACGTTGATCGGTGGAGTGTAAAACACTTGAGCCTCTGGAGAGGAAGTTTTATGAATGTCATTCGGAATGCTGAAGACCGGCACAGCTCCTGGAAGCATGCTAGCTGGCTTTGTATATCCTGGAGCACCGGTGTGGGGCTGCTCTTTGTAAATCTAAAAATTGAAATAAATGTCAAATCGTACGATGAAAAGAGGCATTAAGGAATGATAATTTCCGTCGTTTATGATAATCATAGTGATGTCAACAATTTTAATGACTTTACTCCCTACAAAGAAACTGTTCATTATTTCGAGAAGCGAAATAACTGATAAACTAAAAAATTCCATTAAATTGCTATCAAAAAAACCGGAGTGTCGACTTCGAAGGAGACTTTTTTTAAATATAATTTTAATGAAAATGAGTTATAAAATCAAATCTAGAATTTTTTTAAACGTTTCTTAGTAAGTTCGAAATTTTAATTTTTTCATTGCAAATTTTAATTATTTCGTTTTTTAGGCAGATTTTCAACAGAACAGGACATGATTTTGCATAATCCATTCAATAATAAATATTTTATATTTGAATATGTTGTGCCCGACGATCTGTTCTAACTTTGTATATGCCAAACCCGTTTTATTATTCAGAATGTTATGCTAGTTTAAAAGGCAACAAATTTCTCGATCCCCACTTTCTATTTCAACATTGCTTTCTAATCGTTTATCGTGTGTCTTGACACGCACAACTCATAATTTATGATTGCCATCACGCCTATCTCAGGTATGTAAAATGACCTCAAGAACTTGTCTTCGGCGGACAAGGGGGGGGGGTGTGTTTGAACTTGCCGCGAATGATAGATAGAAGCGGATGGTATGCAAATCTTCGAGATCGAAATTATCAAAACAAAACCTCTTTTTTAGGATGAACAGCGACTTGGGAATAAAGATTTGGAGGTTGACTGCGGTTTTGAGATAAATAACTTGCTGCTGAATGAGTAGTGTTTCGACGAGATGGAGCTTCATATTGGTGTTGAAGGTTGTATTGCTGAAAATAAAACAATTTTAAAGCATACACTTAAAGATTTTGTTAATTACTTGTGTCGACGAGCGAACTTGTGGAACTGGAATATTTACTTCTGATGCTGGCTTAATGTATTCAGCAGAGCCGTAATTTTGCTTGCTAATGAACAAAACGCTGCTGTTTCTATCATTAGCAATGTTTTGATTTTCTGGTAGTTCTTCAAGAGATGTTGCCACCGAAGAATTGCTTTTCGACCTTGGATTCTCTTCGTGATGTTGATGCTCAATGGGATGCTCATGATGCACTTCTTGTTGTTGTTGCTGGTTCACCTCAACCTAAAATAACTCTGCTAAAATCTTGTTATTCTCGTTTCATTGAAAGTCATCAATTGAAATATGCTGCAATCAGCTTTACAGAAACCACTATTTGAATTTTTTTTTGTTAAAAATGAAGTTATCAAAAACTTTAGTTCAATGATTAGTGCCTACACGAACTTTCTCTACTGGTTTTGCAGTTTGTTCATTTTCAACAGCTTTGTGTATTTCATCATGCCAGTTGATTTCGACGACTTGCGCTGTCGCTTCAACATTATGCACATTCTCGATGCTATTCATTCTTCCGCTGATATTTGCGTTTTTGAAAAGCTCTTCGTATTTAAAAATCCAAGAACGCAATTTATCATTGAAAAACTTGTATCGAAGCTCTTGCTGACGCGACCATTCCGCCGCCTCTTTTTGATAAAACTGTTTCGCCTCAGAGCTCTGAAAATATATATATAAAAAAATATATATATATAAACAATCATTCATACATTTTTTCCATGCTTGTCTTTCAACACCTTCTTCTCCTCTTTTTTATATACTTGAAAATCACTTTTCAATTTATTCTTCTCGCGGCTGCTATAATCGTTGACTTTCAACGCAAGCGTTTCAAATTCGGCGACCTTAATACTAATCATAGATTAAAATGTGTCAGGCTAGCGTTACGATTGGTCTGTGAGCGTTGACGCACTTGACAAACTCCTTGAATACGGTTGCTAGTTCGATGGCTTCATGTCTCGCCTTAGCATTCGCGGTGTCGGCAGATTTCACAAGTTTGTGTGTGGCATCACAATAAATAGTTAGAGCTTCTTGGAATTCTTAAACATATTGAATTTCACTCTGTTTTCTCGAACTCATTGGACTCACCACGGTATGCTTTGAGAAGAACCATTCCAGACATAGCAATTTGTTTCGACGCTGAAAAAACTCCTTGATATCTACTATGGTTTTACATAAGTACACATATTGAAAAACGAATTATCGAATGTATTTCTTATGTTTGCATATGGGGAATAATAATTGATATCATAATACGCTAATACACAGATGTTTAAAAGTATATTAATACAATTAGTAGAGTTTCAAAGCCATTTAGGGTACATAGAATCCTAAACAAACAACAAACGTAGAATAATAAATTCTAAAATTGTTCTTCATTCACATTTAATTATAGCATACCTGGTAGAAACTCTTGAGATAATTGATTATAGACTTTCGGTGGAATCTCAGCGGCCATTGCTGGAGTTAATACGGCTTCAGCCGCATTGTCAGCTGACATTTCAGATTCCTAAAAGCACTATATTTTTATTATTTTTTTATGAGAAATGATGGCCGGAGAACATATTGAACCCTTCACATTGATCCGCGTTTTTTAAAATTTGGTTTTGAACAACAAAACGAGACAAAAATTTAACCAGGCGCTTGCCGATTGCAGCACGCAACGGCAATAATTTTGTGCATTTGATAAGAGTCGGTCTCGCATTCTAGTGGTGTAGTCATCTATACAATACGTACACAAGCATACCAAGCATGCAAACGCACTCTGATTACACGCATTATCGAGACATTTGGCGCCTTATACACCTCCCTTTTTATGATCGCTGCTCGTATCTCAGGAAATAAGACCATTGTCGGGGATCGCAAAAATTCAAAAATTCTTGCGACATTTATTGACATGATTGATATCAATTTCAAAAATATACTGTATAAATTAGTAATAAAAATCTCGTACCATAAGGTACCATTGTGTACAGAACACATTATACAAGTGTTATCAGTAATGTTCACAAGTGCTCAACTAAGCATCATAGTTTTGGGTTTTAGGCACTTAATAATAGATTGTGATTTTTGTCCCCTATTTCCCGAATGTTCTTCTGAAGTTGGTATATTCATTAGGCCTGTAAAATTCAAAGATATCGAATTTCAAGATGGGATTTTTTTCAATTTTCACGAGATCATGTTTTCTCGCTCCGAGCATTTCTTGTATCCTTTCCACCCACATGATGATGTAATATACAAGAAATGGGATGATGGTTAAATGTTAATTGCAATTTTCGGCTTGGTTGGGATCTGGGTGTTTAAAGGAACTGAATCCTCACACAACATGAAAATGTCACACTTGACAATTTATTATCTCGAATTTTTTATGCAATGCACTATTTTCAAACAAAGATAAATTCATTCTAAATATGAAGGAATGTAACCTTAAACATGTTAGTCATAAAATTGAAATGTTATGTAAATATATCTGTGGGCAAAAAGGAAAGTAAACAACACTTGAATTTTCAGAATAAAATCACAAAAATGGTTACCCGATGGAGCATTTCAAGTTTACAGCTTCGACAAGCACATGGACAGCCAGAAGGCAACATTTTAACAAGCTAAAGCGTGAGAGCTACCAATGTTGAGCTTCAATCATTGTAATGTTACAGTGGTTTTTCTATCAACCCAAATCGAATTTTTATCGTTTCACCCCAAAATCCAATTCAGATCCCTTGAAGCAATTTCAGAAAAGACATTGTCCTATTCTTCGCATGGTTTTGCGTTGAAGTAGAAGTTTTTTTTTGTCGTATTGCACTTTCGTGATTAACGATTCATTCAGGTCTGCGCACCAGCGAAAATCGTAAATCAGTTGCGACCGTCACCATTCCTAATGTCATTACCTCCTCTCTTCTTTTGTTTGTGGCGGCGTGAATTCAATGAACTAATACATACAAAAAATAGTTGGGTTAGCTGGTTTGAAAATAAGGTCTCCGTTGATGATACCGCAATTCTTTGATCACGCGACCTTTGTAAATACAATTTGTGCAATAACAAGTGGATATTTTATCGTAAAGTTCAAACCACTTATTTGCAGGTACTCTATAGACGAACACAAAAATTTGAAATTCAAATGATCCCCCGACGCGGAAAATGATGACAAAATTATACTTTGAAAGACCTTGTTGTCTTCATCTCTCTCACCCACATTACACATTTCTTTCTCTCCCTCGGCTCATCTTCGCCTCATCTCAATTTTTGCGTTGTTTCAGTGTGTGGATATGACGACGCATGGGATTTTGGTTAGAAGGCTTTGGCGAACCAATGTGCATCACCGGAAGTGGTTCGCGACGAATACGGATGATCAAGATCAAAAGCTCATCCGAAAATTGGGCGAATTGACAGCACCGCCGGAAGTACACCGAAAGCCCTTGATCAAACATTCAACATTAGAGAAAAATGAGATGTTGAAAAAAATCAATAAGGTGTGATTAAAAAATAATGTTGCCCACACAAAATTTTTACTTTTACATTTTCAGACACCCACGCCATTTCATGATATGTTCATGAGAAAACACACATACTTACGTGTTTCGTTAACGGAAAAATGCAATTTTAGATGTATGACTTTATGTGATTTCTGTTTCAAATTTCAATATTCAAGGTCTCTATTGTATGCCGGAAGAGGGGATTCCATTGAAACCAAATGATCAAATGCTGACGGACGCGGAAATCCTTCGATTGGTCCACCTTTTTGCAAGACATGGTGTCGACAAAATACGTTTGACTGGAGGTGAACCAACGATTAGAAAAAACATTGTTAAAATCGTTGGTATGTTTGTTTTTAATCATCCTTGAACAACAATGAAATTTCATTTTAAACAAGTATTTAGAACAAATTGCATCTGTGGAAGGAATTAAAGACATCGGAATGACGACTAATGGCTTGGTTCTCCATCGAATGCTTCCAGATTTGTGTAAAGCAGGACTCAACAAAGTGCTAATTTTCACTTTATTCTAAAAAAAAAATTAATTTTTCGGTTAACATCAGTCTCGATACTCTTGATAAACGAAAATTTGCTCTGCTAACTCGTAGGGATGGATTCGACAAAGTTTGGAGATCTATTAACACAGCCATCAATTATTTGCCAAAAGTCAAAGTTGATTCGATGGACAAGTTCATATCGTATCATCAATTCTTGCAGCTCAACGTGGTCGTGATGAATGGGAAAAATGAGAAAGAAGTGGTTGATTTCATTGCACTCACAAAAGATAAGGTAATATGATAGTCTGCCAAACTTTGATGTATTATCGATGTTTCATCGAAACACGGATCAAACTTAAAATAACCTTTCAACACTGTCGCTTTTTAACAAATAGTTGATTCATCATCATTCTCAAATGAATAGAAATGTGTTATTTCACCCGTGCACGTAGATCATAGCCAAATGGCCAACCATCAACCAGGCCCCCCAAGATTTTTCTCAACGATGAGAGAATGGAATAAGTGAGTAAAACAGCTGAGATGAATCGGTGCGTGTGGTCTATGATTGTAAACAATTTTTGACCTACGAAAATGTTGACGACGACGATTTAATGGGAATTGATAATTGATGTACATCTACGTCTATCGAAGACAAACAACTACATCAAATTCAACACCTTCAAATAAGGAAGTAAATTGATATTTTGCAGAACCTGGATATCCGATTTATTGAATTTATGCCATTTGGTGGCAATCATTTTGAAAGAGATCAGTTCTACAGCTACCGCGACATGTTAATGTCCATCCTGGAGAAATATGGAGACGACGTTGTGAAAATCACAGATTCCCCAAATGATACGACAAAGGTGATATGAATCACAATAAATCTAACACATTGATTCCAAATTTAGGCCTACAAAATAAAACGATTTCAAGGTCAATTTGGTTTCATAACTTCGATGTCCGATCACTTCTGCAACACATGCAATCGCCTTCGAATTACAGCGGATGGTCATTTGAAGGTTTTCGTTTTAAGATCATCAAAAAATATCAGCAGTGAGGCTTGAGGTGTGTCTTCATGGCAATACGGAAGTTAATCTACGCGATAAATTACGAGCTGGTGATACCGACGATGTCCTGAGTGATATTATCCAGGCCGCGGTTAATAGGAAAAAGGCAAAACACGCCGGTAATACATACGTATAATAATCAAAAAGATAATGGAAATGGAAATTTAAAAAATTAAATATTCTTAACATTCCAGAAGAATTTCATGTTTCAGGTTTCAGGTATGGACGCTCTCAAGAATATGCCAAACCGTCCAATGATCTTGATCGGAGGATAAAGATCCCTACGAGTAAGTATTACTGAATAGGTTTTATTTGTTTATTGCAATTGATGTTCAGATTGGTTATTTGTTCCAACTCGCCAACATCTGCCCTCATTAAATTTTATTCGCCAGTTTTCTTCTTCATCGTTTTCTCTTTCATCTGCTTCCAATTTTCAGTCAGGTGTGTAATGGATAAATAACAAAACAGCATTGTTGAACTTTTCAGAATTAACCCATGTAGATTCTAATGGTAATGCTCGCCAAGTCGACGTTTCCGATAAATCCCCAACAATCCGCATTGCAATTGCTAAAGGAACAATTGCGGTGAGAGCGACAAAGAAAAAACAATAGTGTTTGTGTTTGCGAATTTTGACGTATGCTTTGTTTTTCAGTTGACCCCCGAAGTATCACAACAAATAACAAACAACTGCATAAAAAAGGGTGATGTTTTAACGGTGGCCAAGGTTGGTGAAAAATGCCATCAAATTTGAATAACCTTGAGAATTGGCGGAAAGAAATTCAAAAGTTCATTTTTTTCCAGATCGCTAGCATAATTGGGGCCAAGCAGGTTCCTAACATCATTCCTCTTTGCCATTCTATTCATCTCGATTTTATTGATACAGTGTTCAAGCATGATATAAATAATCACCTTCTTCACGCCACTTCAACTGTGAAATGTTTTGAAAAGACGGGAGTCGAAATGGAAGCAATCACTGCAGTCTCTGTATGCAAAACATATCTGCCAAAACAAAATAATATTTTTCTTTTTCAGATTGCTCTTCTCACGGTATATGATATGTGTAAAGCAATCACTCAAAACATGGTTATTCGCGACATTCGTCTTGTTCATAAATCCGGCGGGAAAACTACATTCAATGCTACCTAGCCTTCCATTATTTGATTAATACCATTTACTCTTTTCTTGTTTCAACATTGAGCTCATAAATAAACATTGTTTGTGCGATTTAAACTCACTCCATCATTCACCTTTACAAACGATTTATGGATTACGGATAATGTTTAAAAGAGAAACCAAAAAAAAAACGAAACGAAAAAAACGTCAACATATAAACAGGCGATTCTAAAAAAATCTACTCAAAAGCAAGATGTTCTCAACAGACCGGTCGCATCGAACCAACATTAACTATGATGAGATAGACCAACAAGCAATTAAAGTAAAGAAGGTGGATGAAATGGGGCGGCGGCGAGCGGTTAAGCATTTAATAATAAAGAACAGAATGGAAACATTGAGCTCGGGCAGATAACAAAACAAATGGGACAAAGGAAAAACAAGGGAAAACAGAGGAAAGAGATTAAAAATGCTTAATTATTCAATGAGTTCAACAGAAATTTGCATCTTCAATTAAAAAAAAAAAACATTACTACCCAAACATACAAGTGTTTGATGATGATCAAAGGAATGCTAAATTAAACAAATAGACAAAGCGCAAAGGTAGGGAAAGCTGCAACACAAGTTCGGGTAGTTCAATTTTTGTTAAACGCTTTAATGTTGTTGTTGTTGTTCTTCGTTGATGACCTCCTCGATCGGTCGGTTTTCTTCCTTGCTGCGGAGGTATGTCTTGAAATGCGGAGAGTCCTAGAATAATTTGTTGAGGGGACACTAACTGAGCTATTAGTATTTCACCTTGAAAATGCGGATCTTTCTCTGAAGGGAACGAGCGCTCTCTTTGAACACGTTGCGAGTGTCTTCGGCCATCGCTTGATAGTTGTCCCCATGACTGTCAATCAATCCAGCGCAGAACATGATATCCTTCGGCAACAGTTTGTAAACTCTGTCGCGGCTTGGCGTCTGAAACGGATGAATGCAAAAAGCTGATCTCGTAAAAGCTTACCGATGGTCTGGAAATGTGCAATTCCATTGGAAGTGGCTTGATGAAGTTCTTGTGCTCCATGAGCACGGCAGGTTTCTTCTCAGCCAACTTGATAAGTTGCGCGTCAATGCGCACCTTTGCGGTTGGATCAATCTGAACCATATCGTGTTTGGCAAGTGTTGCCTGATACAGTTTTTCAACATTTTGCTGGAATCTGGTTGGCGATTTGTCGTCTCCTTCCAAAATCTGTTGAGTTTGGATGGTAATTGTTCGTTCGGTAGCTGAAATCCCAGAACATTTCAAATCGAACACAAAAAAACTGTAGCACTTTTAAAACCGTTACGTTCTTCGGTGCTGGAGACCTCGTGCACCTGAATTGGTGGCGAGTTTGATCCTCCAGTGATCGCTTCAACTTCCTTGTCGGCGAGATCATCCTCCAATTGGGCGTCATGATGATTCTGTTGCTTTGATGTCGAGTTCGAATTTCTATTTTTCTTGTTCTTCTTTTTATTCTTGCCGGTGTGATGCTCTTCAGGTGCAGCCTCATGACTAATTATCTGCTCAGTCACTACAACATTTTCCTTATCAGCCGTTGGCAAGTTGTTGCCATTGGTCTGAAACACACAATAACATTTCGGATACCATCATAACAATGTGTACCGTTGGAGCAGCTTCTTCAACTGGCCCGGCATTCTGCCCCTTCTTGTTCTTTTTTCCGGTCTAAAAACGATTATATTTATTTGCGGCAAAAATTAATATCCTCCTACGTTTTGCGGCTCAACAATCTTCTTCTCAATCACCTCTTCAACAATATCAGCCGATTTGTCGTTCTTGTTTTGCTTGGTAGCTGCAACAACCTGCAAAATTATTACATACATTGCTGCAACCTGTGCCAACAGAAAATTTCGACCACGTGAAAGATAACAAACGCAAAATCACCTGTGCCGCCGCATCTCCCTCTTGTTTGTCTTTCTTTGGAGTAACAAAGTCGAGGAAGTCCATAGAGTCCTCTGCCGCATTGTCAGCTGCAGGTTCCGAGGATGCGGTAATCTTTACCTTAAACTCTCCTATCAAAACGTTCAACACAATTATCGAACCTCCTCATTTGCATCTTCTTCGCGTTTATCTTTTGCGGTTACAAAATCAAGGAAGTCCATCGAATCATCAGCAGTTGCCTTTTTAGTTGCGGGTGGTTCAGCGGCGATCTTGATCTGAAGGAGTGATAATGGAGTGATTGATGAGATTTCAAAATAGCAACTAACCTCTTCAACTTTCTCTTCGGCGCTATCTGATTTATTATCTTTAGGGGTGACAAAGTCGAGGAAATCCATTGAATCGGCAGTTGGCTTATTGGCAGCCGGGTTTGACTCTGCCTGCGAAACCTGAAACAAACACATCGTTTGACTAAATAATGAAAAGAATCACCTCAACATGATCAGCTGCTTTTTCGGAGTTCTTCTTGTTTCTCTTATTCTTCTTTCCAGACTTCTTCTCTTCGACAACGGGTTCGTCAACCTGAGTCTGGGCTTTCTCCTCAGCTTGCTTCTCCAAATCAGCGTTCTTTTCAATGACGATCTCACTGCTCTTCGACTCGATCTCTTCCGATCCCTTCTTGTTCTTCTTTCCAGATTTCTTTTCAGATTTGCTATCTTCTTGCTTCTCTTCGGTTTTGACTTGTTCCACTGGTTGCTCGACGAAATCCTCTTGAGCTGGAGTTGGCGTTTCGACCTTCTCCTCCTTGCCCTTCTTACCAGACTTCTTTTCCGACTTCAATTCCTGTTCGTGTGGCTTCTCATCAACAATTTTCTCGTCAACAACGGCCACTTCTTCAGTTTTCGCTTCAACCTTCTGCTCGCCACCCTTCTTTCCCTTCTTTCCAGATTTCTTTCCAGAATTGCTCTCGGTCTTTTCCTCTTCAACAGGTGTTTCGACTACTTTCACCTCTGAAGCAACTTCTGGAGTCTTCTCCTTTTGTTCAGACACGGTATTCTCTTCAACTTGATTTGGAGCCTCGTTTGTCTTCTCATCAACCTTTTCAACTGTCTCTTCAGTGGCCGTCTGTTTAACTTCCTCCACCTATAAACATAAATTGTCAAAAAAAAAAAACCCATGGCGTTGTGTCAATAACCTTTTCTGGTTCGTTGCTCGACTTCTTGTTTTTCTTATTCTTCTTCGACGCCTAAAACAGAATGCGATGATTGTCCCCATTTTGGGTGTGTTCTCACCTTCGATTCAACTACCACTTGTTCTTCGACATGATTTTCAACAATCACCGATCCATTTGGTTGTGGAGGCACACTCTTCTTATCGTTCTCTTGCTCATCGGCCGGCTCGGCTGGCGTGTTCGTCGGCGTTGGAGGCTCCGAAGCCTCCTTATTGTGTGCCTTTTTGTTATTAGCATTGTTGGTTTTCTCCGATTTTTTTGCCGCGTTCACCTCGCCAACGTGCGCCTATTAATAGAGAGGTGTTTGAAAATGGAAAGAAAAACACACGCAAGTACCTGTTTGATTTGACCTTCATCGGCAACTGCGGATTGTTGTTTCTAGAAAAATTAACAATTATTGCCACCTAGCGATTCAATGTTGGATGGGAAGGTCTTTCGAATAGACGGGAACAGTTGTTCCGTTTTTTTTTTCACACAAAAATTACGAGTGTTACTACGAGAAAAGTTCGCTATCATCAATCTACCTTTTCCAACTTTTTCTCCTTCTTCTCTTTCTTTGCTTGTTTCGCTTCTTCGAGCTTCTGCTGCTTCTGCAGTTGTTGCTGCTTCTTCTTTTTCTTCTTATCGTTCGTTGATTGTGATCGCTCAGAATTATTAGACTGAAAGAAAAAAACAATATCCGATGGAGATGAGATATCTCTACCTGCTTGAGTTCGAATGAGCTCTCTACAATGGCTGCCAAAATCTTCTTACGCTCTTCCACAAGTGGATCTTGAAGGACAGCAGTCAATTGCCTGAAATTAAGGCCACGGTTTTCTGAAGAATTATTGTGGAAACAAACCATCGGCGAAATTGACTGCGAGCTGACTTGGCCAGTTTTCCGAGATTCTTTCTGCGAGTCGTCACTTGCTGTGAATTATGCGGGCGTCTCACGGACAATCGAGACCTCATTTTGATTCAATGAATGCACTCGCGAAGATCGAACTTCTTTTGATCACAACTGAAAAATAAGGCAAAATTCGACAATGGCAGATACATCAAAAGTTGGCGAAAAAAAAAACGTCAAAGAAACAATTAGTGCGGAAAAACGCGAAAATTTTTTTTAAAAGGTGGTTGAAAAAATTTGTCTGTCTTGCGGCCTGGCCTACACATGCAAGATACACCGACGACATTGCAAAACGTGTGTGTGTGTGAGCGCGCGCGCGTGTGTGTGTGTTTGTGAGTGAGAGTACGTGTCTGAAGTGACGGGGGTGGAGCTAAAGCGGCAAGGAGGGTTGAATCGCTAGAAACGCAGAATTTTGGGCGCGAAACACATCGAACGTTGATGAGATTTTGAAATCAAAACTGAAGCGAGAGATATAGAACGCCAATGAGGTAATCGCACAAAAACGTTTTGTCAAAAGAAATTCGAAATTGGCCAAAAAAGGCGAAATTTGTAAATATATTTTGAAAATTAAAAAAATGTGTGTGTTTTTTTGGTTGGGAAATCTGAAACTCGCTTGTAAAGCATTTTTGGGAAAAAAGTCACGTAATTCAATTTTTCAATTTGTCTTTTTCTTCTCCTTCATGGGAAATAAGGAGTTCAAAAATTCAAAGATTTGGCCTAACGTTTTGTTTACTGTTGATATCGTTTAATTGTTTTTTACACATAATTTTTTGGAAAGTCAAGTCGCATCTCATAAAATTTTATGAATTCTCGCAAGCAATTTGATGAAGAAAAATTTATCCGAAAGTGACCGCATCAAGGAAAGCCATTTTCTGCCTAATTTTAGGGTTCTACTAAAAGCCATTCATCTTCAGCTGAGGTTGAGCCGACGATTGATTCTTCAATTGGGTTAGAAACGTTTGTTTTTGCGACAAAGTTCCGGTACGGAACATCTGCCAAATGAATGGAAAGCTCTAGAAAGACGCGTTGCATATGGCAAAAAAACAACCAGAAAGAAAACAATTTGAGAATAGTCGAATGACAATAATTTCATAATTCGATGCTTCCCAGAGTGATGTCAGAGTTATACACAACCTATAAGAATTCTTTAGATTGTTGAAAATTTAATTGCTGATAACATTGTTGAAGTATTCATTAAATAAAACGCTTATCGTTTTTTGGCAACATTTCGAAAGTCAAACAAATGGCATACGTTCGGTTGCAACCGATTTGATAACGCTGGCAGGTTGAGCCGTTTTCACAGTTACATTGTTCAAACATAAACAATTCGAGTGATTGGTTTTATTTGCTTATACTAGTTATTTTCGTATAATATTTTCGAGGCCGATGATGAAATCAATTGTGCACCAGAGGCCATGAAAAACATTGCACTTTCACTTGAGTCGCTGCGGTTCCAAAAATTACTTGTTTGAGGGAATGCCGCTATCATGTTCTTCAAGGGTTACTGTCAATATTGCGTTTTCATATATCCTGCGCGTCTGAGGGATTTTCAATTCTACAAGTGTGTGTTGAGGGGTTGCTCAGTACAAAAAAAACATACACAAAACCCAACTACATTAAAAAAAAACAAAACATAAAAAAGAAGGAGGGCGAAGAGAGGCATTCATTGTATTCGTCTCACATAACCACACTCACAGCACGGCTAGGCCGGCATGCAGAATAACGCGAGAGATTTCGAGAAAGAGTCGAAGCGAGGCGCCGATCAAAGCGTGTCGATGCCACTCGCACTGCCCCCGACCCCGAGCGACAACATGGCGAAAAAGAAGAAAAAATGAAAGCGGGCCGCACAAAAAAAACACACACACACAAGCGTTGACTCATCGCCTAACCCATTATTCAACTCGTTAACAGTACCCCATACCCTTTTATGGAAACCCGTGCCGCCTTGGGTAACGTGGGACAACGAGCTCATAAACAAAATGCACATTTATTTTGATGTGCACGCGTGAGAGATGAAGAACAAAGAACATTACCTAAGAAACCAGAGGGACGAACTCGATGGGCGATTTAAAATTGGTTCGGTTCGAATCAACAATGTGTTTTTCTGCACTTTTTGTTTTTGAAAACGAACGCGCGTAGAAGGGCACCAATGCGAGATTTATGCAAAATATGATTAAAACCAAAGGGAGATTGACAAAATGCTGGTTTCATATATAGAAAGAGAAGCAAGAATTATTGATTCGCCTTTTATTTTGGTGGAGAGCGTCGACACCACACACAATTGAAGCAATTTTGAAATATTCGGGCAAAAACAATGTTGATGAATTTTCTCGACAAACATTTAAACAAGAAAACAACTATTGATATGAAAACGACATTGTTGGCTGTGGGAAATTGTGAATAATTTTCAGACGAGAAATTGCGTCACTATTCATAACCCAACTGGACTTAAAAGGGAGAAGGATTGAGCTTCAACATTTTTTTTTCGATATAAAATTGTCAGGTGCTGAACATCTGCATTGAAACTGTGAACACCTGCTCTATTGAAAGCAAAGAAAAAACAGCAACGCCGTTCACAAAAAAACGAATTGCGCGTTTTTTTCAAACAAAAAGCAGCTGCATTTTGCGCAAACTTCAAGGAACGCACGTAAGAAAATGGAATGTCCCTTTAATCTATGATGTTCTTAAATTGTTCAAACATCTTCTGATCATGTGCACCCTTGTTTATTTACAAAATACTGACAGTCTGATAGACATGTGTTCAAAATGAGAGAGATTTGAATATTGATGAAAACGTGTTACCCATTAGCATAAACACGTTGGTTTGTTTTTTTTTGGAAAATGGGCAAAACGGTTGGCGTTTTGGTTTTTTTATTGAACACCGAAAATGGAAGTAAACATCGCAAAAAATTGAGTAGAATTAAGGTCATAATGATTTTTATCGACGTTTTGCAGAAATTCTAGAACGCCGAAAAACACAACGAGCGAGTCCGAATGCATAATAAATGTTTTTATGGTCTTCGTTAGTTATTCCATCATTTGTTGAAACAATGGTTCGCGGTCTTGAAATAAAAGGAAAAAATATCAATACATTGGGCTTTAAAAAAAGAAAAACTGTGTTTCGAATCACGCGGCCAGAAGAGAACTATTTTCATTATCTCGATTTATCAAGTGCGCGAGTTGAAAAAAAAACGTATAGTAAACAATCTGGAGAGTGTGTGACCTCCTGTAATTTTATGTATTTGAAAAAAGAAACGAAAAAAGAAAGAACAAATTTAGGCGGGAGGTAGAATTAAAAATCACTTTTAATTTAGCGGAATGAAGATATCAATTTTTCCGCCTGATTAAAAATTGGTATAGAAAAACCGCCCAACACGTCGCTCCAATTAACTACGCATTACGGTGGGCATTTCATTATAGAAAATAGAATCAAAAATGCGTTTTCAGTACGTTTTGAGAGCTGGCAAAATCATTCAATTAATCAAAATTCTAGATAAAGGAACAGACAAACTCTTTTAATTGAAATAGTTTGGGATAATGAGTTGCGCACAACAATTTCAATTTTCTGAAAACCGTGATGATGAGGGCTGTTTGTAGGTAAGTTAAATGAAGATCACCTGCGTTTTCGTGGGAGCCGTACATTTATCAAAACGTGCGATGTCCATCGAATAAATTACTGGCGCCAATATTTGGCGTTTTTTTTTTTTACTTTTCGGCGTGATGTGAAACAAAACAATTGTCTCAAACATTTTTCCCTAAGATGTTATGGTAACCAATTATTTGCTGGTTTTCTTTTTTAAAATTTGAAATATTTTAAAGGCATTTGTATGTTATTCGAACAAAGGACGTTGAGACAAATAGTGTGACTAATTGCTCGATCGCATGCTCAGTGTTGCAATTGTTGTTTGAATTTTTGAAAAAAAAACATTAATTTTTAAATATCTCTATTTGCGATCAGTGAAGGGACTTTTAATTGTAGAATAACGGTGAATTGAACAATAATAAGATTTTTTAAATATTCCAACTTGCAAACGTAACAATATTACCCAATAGTTTCAATTTTTCTGCTATGCAAACATTATTTCAATTATTTTTTTTGCAATATGATAGAAACAATCGCGGCAATGTGTTCGTCACCATCTTCAAATCTACATTACAATTTTCACACGCTCTATTTTTTGTTTTCAATAGTTTCAAACGCTTCAAGTTATTTTTAATATCGGATTTACGTGCCAAATCGTAGATGGCTATTTGTTATTGTACATTTTCTGCTCTTTTGATATCCAATAAAAATTGCACCAAACTCACTCAATACATTTCTCGTTCCCATTCTTATTTGGCAAGTGATATAACGCAACTCGAGGGAGGTGAAAAACAAAATCTCCTTGCACATATCACCAAAGTTGACCTCGCTGCGTTCGCACATTTGTCTCGGATGGTGGTTTTGGTGGCAACTTGAAACACGCGGCGTCACTCTGCGTTTGGCATATTTTCTCGTGTCGCGCGTCTGCCATATTACTGGTTGTATTTTTTGCACAATTAATAATGCTCTATCTTCATTTTTTTGCATATAAATTATTAAATTAATATCACCAAAGCGATTTTTTTTTCAGAAACAATGCAGAGGCCGTCAACTCCAGTGAAACGCGCTGCTCCTGACAACGAAAATCCGGCTAATGGCGAGCCACAAAGGAAAATTCACAAGGCTGTTGTAGGAATGAGTTCGGAAGAGTATGACGAACTAAAAGTATTTTGGAAATAATTAGACAATTTTGAAGCAATTTTCAATTTTAGGTCTCATTTCCTATATTTTTCGTTCATAGTTTCGAAGGAACGGCTAAATGTTCTGGCGGGATGAGATGCACACTTCATGACGCTCGCGTGAAAGCAGCCATCACATTGAAAGACATCGAAACCGAGCAACTAGTTTCATTGGCAGTTTGCGAAGACTGCGCCGAAAGTTGTGCTGCTCTAGACACAACAATTGATTTCAACGGAGATTTGAATACGGCGTTTCGCATAACCTTTCCATTTGACGCGGTGAGCTGCTTCTATAGTAATTTCGCATTCCATTATGTTTCTAGCCGGTGGACGATCGCGTAATTTCAACAATTTGGTATTGCCACAAAAAAGCGGCATTTGCCAGAGAACGCCACAAGAGTAATAAAAGCCCTATCAGAAAAAAATTTCTTACAATATTTTGTTTCAGAGATGGTGCGTTCTCGGATTTTCAACTGGCCCCTTATAGAAGCTTCCCACAACGTTGACGCAAGACGTGTTCTCGCTCAGGTATTAGAACTGCTAAACATAGTTTGTAATTTGAAATTAATTACAGAGGAATACCGAATACGATCCAACCCTTCTCACGAACAACACGTTCACTTTCATCGGAATCACACGATTCATTAAAAAAACCGATATTTGTGGATGGCACGTCGAGGATATATGTGGTGGCGTCGTCGTTCGTCCTCGAAATTCATGGCAGAAACTAATATATTGCTTTTGTCCCGAATGTATGGATCCCGTGATGAGCGTCCGCTATGACTGGCCCGATGAGCTCATAACCATGGTTCGACTCGCATTTGAATCGAATGTAAGATTTTAATGCAAAATGTTCTTCACGAGAATTAATATCTTTCAGGATTGCTCGGATCTTGAAAAATGGTTTCAGAACCATGTAGGCATTGGTAGTAGAGGACGAATCGAAGAAAATGCAGACAATAGCGTGTGATTTGAGTTATTGAAAGATATATTGATATTATCGAGTATCTTCCTACGTCATTTTTAATGGGTCTTTTGCTTCGTGGTGAAAAATAGAAAAAAATCATCATTGCTTAAACCAGTTCAAATTTCAATTGTATTTTTTATTTTATGAAATTTCATATAAATTAAAAAAGTTATCCCTATTCTATGTAATGAGAAAAAATGTTTTGATACTGTTACATCACAAGATTATGCTATGAAAGGAAAGAACCGTGAGATATGTATATTGAAGTAATGACACTTTGCGGCGCGTTAAAAAAAGTAAAGCTTAAAAATTAATCACAAAGAAAAAATCTAGGAGAAATTGGCTCTGGGGAAAAGCAATAAAATCACTCATATTTCTTAATCGATTTATCCTGGAGTGGCGAACCGGAGCTTTTTCTTTGCTCTCCAGAAAGTTGGGAAACTTCTTAAGTGCTCTCGTGACGACTTGGCGTAGAAATATTTTCGATTCGCGCTGATCTTCTCAAAGGAGTTGTAATGTTTAAAGATGAATTTGGTCTGAATTATGCAGTTCTTGGATTTAAAGAAAATATATAAACTGACCGTCTTCTATTTTGAAAAACTGATGGAATTGAAATTGTTGGTGATAGGATTCCGCGACTAGAAGATGACGAGTATGACATAATTGGACGACGCATACATGAACGCAGTGGTCTTCCCAATGTCGGGGAAAATCGTGGCGAGTGATTTCTTTGTCTATGGTGGAAATTGAATTTAACTCTTTTCGCCGATTGAACTGAAGAAGATGAAGCGCAACGAGAAGTTCGATGAGTATTGGGCGTTGTGCGAACTGATTGTTTTGATCCATGACCATGTGAATCATTTCTCGATGTTCGTGTGTAAGGAGTTCTCCGATTTGATGCTCCAGGTGAGTTTCTCTTTAAGCCAACATTTCTTTTTTGTCTTGATGAAGTGGTAGACGAGCGATTCGTACTGCTCGAAAGTGATTCCGACAGTTCTACACATAGATCGCATTCACAGTATTCGTTGGTCTCATCCCTTAAAATAGAAACATACTAGTCTTTAATATGAATCTATAATTTCTCACCCTCCCAGGTTAAATTTGACGGTCAATTCCTCGCCAGAAGCAATATCGCTTTTTGCGTAAAATAAAATACGTTGTATTTTATGTGAGGAAACCGAGACCTCGCACTGTAAAATTTCGTAAATTTTTTTTATTAATTCGATTAACTACCTTTGTAGCTATGACATTTGCACAGCCCTTAGCATGGGTTATAAATCGAAAATTGTTACCCTTCCGTGTAACATCGATGACATATTCGTCAACCTTGAAGAACAATTTCAACCTTCCATACTGTTTTTCTCGCTTATTTGCTTCTTCAAGTGTAATCATCTCCCCTTTGAGTTCGCCAAGGAAAGCTCCTCTAAAATTATATATTATAATCAATAACTTGTATGTGTGTTATTTTTGTATGAATGCCGAAAGTCATAGTAAAATTACGCTTTTATCTCCATCTCAGCTCGAAGGCCATAACCCGTAAGGGACGAGTTGTCTAAGACACGCTCAATTCCTTCAACCTCGGCTTTCGGAATATCGTTGGATGTGGTTAATCATTTCGATGTGCAAGAGCAAGAGTTTTCAGGTAAACATGTGCACCTTAAAAAAAAAAAGAAATTGACTCAAATACATATTAAAGGTAAAAATTCACAAACATTATTTCTGGAGTTAAGTCTTTCATGAGGAAATTAGGGTAGATTGTCTCTTGAATCTCTTCAAATGCGGAAAGATTTGCGACTGCATCGTTAGCTGAAATATCATGGACTCAAGGATCACAATATTTCTCACCTTTCGATCTTCCACTGCCCGAAGAAGATCGCCTACGATGTTCTGAAGATACCCCGTTTGACTTATTTCGGGCCGTCTGACGACAAGAATCGCGTTCACGATGTGGTGTGGATGGTTCACGTGTAGCTCTCGGCTCTAAACTCAATCTATCTCCTCTCGCACCATTTGGAGTTCGAGCGTAGCAATTCGAAGTCACACGATTCGACCGACGTGGAGTACTTGCTTTTTCTTTTGGCGAAGCTCCTCTTGATCTTCTTGGAGTTCCGTGAGATTCGTTAGAAGTCTCGCGAGTTGAACGACGTGGAGTCCTTGCTTCTTCTTTTGTTGAAGCTCCTCTTGATCTCCTTGGAGTTCCATAATATCCTTTAAACGTCTCGCGAGTCGACCGACGTGGAGTCTTTGGCTCTTCTTTTGGCGAAGCTTCCCTGGAGCTGCTTGGGGTTCCATGATATCCATTTGAAGTCTCGCGAGTTGAACGACGAGGAGCTCTTGCTTCTTCTCGTGATGAAGTTCCTCTTGATCTTCTTGGAGTTCCATAATATCCTCTAAAAGTCTCGCGATTCGACCGACGTGGAGTCCATGCTTCTTGGGATTCGATGATATTTTTTTGAAATCTCACATTTCGAACGACGTGGAGTTCTGGCATCTTCTTTTGGTGAAGCTCCTCTTGATCTTCTTGGCGTTCCATGATATCTGCTACAAGTCTCGCGATTAGACCGACGTGGAGTTCTTGGCACTTTGCCTAGTGTTCTGTGCTTAATTCGGGGCGTATTTGATCCTCTCGGAGATTGAGAATTCTCGCTTTTTAAATTCGATCTTTGACGAGGGGTTGCCGATTCATGTTGTGTTTCGGAATTACTAGTGCCGTTTGTCGATTGAGCTCGTTTTTTCTCGCAGCTATTGCATAAACAATCACCTTGAAATGGATTACTGTAAGAAAAAAATGATTTAGATATAAAAAAAATTGAATACCTCGTATACGTGAATGTTAACTCTTCATTTTGTTTAATATCTGCAAGGGACCAAAAGCCAATTCGCTCTATTTTCAGTGGAGTGCCGGGAACCAAAAACTAGAAAAATTTCCGAGTTGTGTACAAATATTGCTTTTATAAATGTACCTTTCTGGCAATCACGTTAGGATTCTCACATTCGTGGTTCATAAATCTCATTAGATTACCGTTCTTAGATGCATCAATGAATAAATTTCCTGTTTTAAAACAGAATATTTGAGAAAGAGAGTAAATCTTCTTTCTTCTAATCATTTCTTCTTTTGTTATAATTTCACCCTTATACTCGCCAATGAAGCTGCCTCTGAACACACTATTTTGAAGAATGCGATAAATTGAAAAACGTACTTTGGAATGAATTCGACGGCCTCAAGTCCGAATCCCTTTTTTTCGGTGTGAAACCAACGAACATTTGCTTGAACGTTCTGAAATGTGTGGAACATAAAAAAATATACATTTTTTAAATTTTGGCATACCCGCGCAAAATTTTGATTATCACATATGTGGTCATCGGTCAATGGGCATTCATAAGAGCTTCTCACGTTTTCGCAGTTACTTCGACACGGCATTCCAAACTTGGGACAATCGCAAAAACTATAACATGGTTCAAATTATTCTTTTGAGCAAATTTTCTTGCATGTCTTACTTGTCTTGTGTTTTGCCATGCTTTTTAACGCAGAATTTCAGTTTATCAATGTGTTTGTAAACAGGAACACTCATTTTGTCCAAACATTCAAAAACTGCTGAAAATCTGCCAAAAGTTTCTCATGAAATTGTCGCAAAGTGATGGAAATTTCTAAGCAGATTTTAAATCTTGCCACGCTTTCTTAGCAAACCAATTTCGATAGTGTATAGAAGAATTGAGGTAAAAATGGCAAAAAGTTCAAAATAATGAGAAATGAATGGAATTAATATTAGTTCGAGGTTTGAGACAAAATTTATTTATAAAATAAAAAAGTAATACAGTGCGTTTCACATTTATAAAGCCACTCTTGTTTTTGGGCGTAACTTTGTCAATTGCGATTTTTCAGGAATCGATGGAAGCCTTTTCGGCATCGGTGAGAAAAAATCCCCATGACATGTTCAAATGTTGGTTAAAACACACGGAAAATAAAGAAAAATATCTTACAGTACTCTATTTATAACTACACTGCTAATTCTCGTTCAGGTCTCCACATTTTCAGACCATTCACAGGGGTGGCTTTATAAATGTGAAGCGGTTGCAAGTGACCAATTTTCAGTGTTTTCAATGCCACTTGGCCAAATTTTCAGATATCATTATGAAAATTGGTAAACATATGTATTATTTAACCCCGAATTCAATTTTGAAAACAGAATTTAAAAATTTTCACAATTGACAAAGTTACGCCCAAAAACAAGAATGGCTTTATAAATGTGAAACGCACTGTATAAATTATAGGTCTCATAGTAATATTCTTAAAGCGAAACGATTTGGGAATGCAAAATTTTTGGGATCCAATCACTCCCCAATATTCAAATCACCTGGCTCCTCCCTTTTTTTGAGATCAATTGTGCTCATTTGAACATGTGTTAAATAGAAAAGATCTGTCGAAAGAATTCAATAGAATAATGAACAGGTGGTTGCAACCTGTGAGAGTTTTAAATAATTTTAACAAAAAAAACATCGGAGAAACAAAAGATGGTGGTTTGAAAAAAAAACTTCTTCTGTACCGAGCCTCTCCGTGGCGAAGAAGATCAACCACACCACCTTACAACTCTAGCTAGTAGATTTGGTCACTACTAGTAGGTGTTCTTGTGGGCTAAGAGGTACACCGCCTCCCGCAGGTCGGAGGTTTCGTCCACAACTCTCCTCCCTAAAGGCTCAACTTTAGCCCAGCAAGCTACTGTTGGGTATCCCAGGGGCAACCACAAAAGCTACAAACAGCCTTCAAAACTGCCTTAGTTCTCCGCACTCGGCCTCCTCATCAGTTACGGTAGATGCTGATGAAAGTCGAGAAAGGCGATCTAATCTCGGAGTCAGCACCGTCTACCTTCAACCAATCCAGGAACACCGGAAACCCCACCAAACCCGAAAAATCAACGCCCGAATCGCAACATTCAACTGCAGATCATTATCCAACGGAACACGACTCGAAGAGCTGCTAAACGAGACGCAAAGAATCGTGTACGACATCATTGGCCTCGCAGAGACGAAAAGAGCATCAGAATCCCACGAAACACACATCGACGGCACCGGAGTATTTCTCGGATCCAGAAATGCTTCCTCAACATCTGGCGGTGTTGGATTCATTGTCCACCGACGTCTTATGAAAAGTCTAAAAGAAGTCGTATTTGTCAACGAAAGGATCGGTTATCTCAAGTTCATGGTCAACAAACGCTTCGATTGCACCGTCTTCCAAGTCTACGCTCCGATTGCTGATACTGATTACGAAGAACTAGCGGATTTCTATGAAAACCTCGAAGATCTATACCACAGCAGTAGAAGCAAGTTCAAGTTGATAATCGGAGACTTCAACGCAAGAATTGGAGAACGAAAAGCTCAAGAAAAATACATTGGCACCAATTCGATGGAACCACGGAACGAATCAGGAGAACTGCTAGCCACATTTTGCGAATCAAACAGAATATGGCACACAAATTCGATGTTTCAAAAGCCTCCGAACAAACGCTGGACCCACGTGAGCCCCAATGGAAACCATAAGCACGAAATCGACCACATTTTATCAAATGGAAAATTCGTAACCGATGTGAACGTGCTCCCCTCTTTCACCACGGGAAGTGACCATCGCCTGCTTCGCTGCAATATCCATTTCAACATCAAGGAAACCAAGTCAGCTGAAACCAGGAAGAGAATGCCACCAAGAAAATGCCTTGATTCCAAAATTGCTGCTCAAATCACTACCGGAGCTCACCTTCCCACCACTCCAAATATCGACGAAGACTACGAACATCTGATATGCTATCTTCAAAGTCTTCAATAACAAGCCCTCATCAAGCCTGCAAATCACGCCACAAGGAGAATCTCCGAAAACACGAAGAAACTGCTCGCCAAACGTCGCTTCATGAACAGAGACGATCCCACATTCAAATTGCTATCGGAACAATGCCGAACAAACTTGAGGAAGGACCACGATGAATACGCCAAAACCCGACTCCTTTTCGCGGCCGAAAAAAGAATGAGTTTGAAAAAAGTCGCTCGCGACATAAATCAGTTCAAATCAACAATTCCATGCCTCAAGAGCAGCACCACTGGAGCAAGGATAACATCAAGAACAGGTATCGAAGAAGAAATTGGAGCCTTCTACAGCAGTTTGTTCGCTAGCCACATGCTCCCGCCACATCCTACCGCTCCACCCGACACGTCTCAAACACCATCTTTTCTCCTTGCCGAAGTAAAGCACTCGCTCAAATCTTTTGCAAACGGAAAAGCAGCCGGAAGCGACAAGATCTCGGCCGACTTTTTGAAACACTGTGACGACTCAATTCTTGAACTGATCGCAAATAGATTCAGCTGGTACCTCAAATCAACATCCATCCCTAATGCTTGGAAAACATCAAAAACCAGCCTGATTCACAAAAAAGGAGATAAAGAAGATCTTGAAAACTATCGCCCCATAACATTGTTATCAGTTTTATACAAGCTCTTCACAAAATGCCTCCTGGCGAGAATGCGAAACCAACTTGAAGAAGCCCAACCCGTCGAACAAGCAGGTTTCCGCCGTTCCTTCTCTACAATGGACCACATTGGCACAGTTCAAAAAGTACTTGAAATTGCTCGTGAACATAACATGCCTATTGCTCTTGTCTTCATAGATTTCCACAAAGCGTTCGACAGCGTCGAACCTAGAGCAGTATGGGAAAGTCTGCGCCAACAAGGAATTGATGAAAGCTACGTCAAAATCCTCGAAGCTTGCTACACCGATTGCTCCACAACCTTCCGACCCTTCTACAACAACATAGACGTTCCGATCACACGAGGTGTTAGACAAGGAGATCCCATCTCTCCGAATCTATTCTCCGCTTGCCTGGAAGGAATATTTCGACAGCTAGACTGGTCGAATTTTGGAGTCTCGATTGATGGCAAGAAGTTAAATCATCTACGATTTGCCGACGACATCGTACTCATCAGCCACACACCTCAAGAAGCCACGGAAATGCTAGAAAATCTGGTCGATGCGAGCAAAATAGTTGGTTTGAAAGTCAACGAAAGGAAGACCAAATCTATGAGAACATCTCTTTGCGACCCGTTGCCGATTTCTATTCACGGATACCCAATCGAAGATGTAGAAGAATATGTTTATCTAGGCCGCCAACTCAACCCTCGGAATGAACTCCTCCCCGAGCTTCATCGAAGACGAAGAGCCGCATGGGCGGCGTTCAACAACATCAGATCGACCACCGACCACATCACATGCGCTAAAACTCGAGCCCAACTATTCGACAGCCACGTTCTCCCCTCGCTTTGCTATGGAGCTGAACAATGGACCCTCACGAAAGCTTTGGCAAATCGCTTTCGTGTAACGCATGCCTCATTAGAAAGAAAGTTGGTTGGAATCACCCTTCTGGAACAACGAGAAAGAGGATATCATGGAACGGACATCCGCCAATTATCAAAAGTGAAAGATCCAATCAAACACCTAGTGGAATCAAAACTGAGATGGGCCGGACATGTAGCTCGAAGAACAGATGGAAGATGGAC